GGTAGTCGATTAATCCGCACCGTCGCTGAGGAATGTGGCGGGCCAGTCGTGGTCATTATCCACTCTGTTGGCCCTGTCATTGTTGAGGACTTTGCGGATCTACCGTCTGTCAAGGCCATTGTTTTTGCGAACTTGCCGGGTCAGGAAAGTGGCAACGCCCTTGCTGATGTCCTCTTCGGTCGAGCCGATGCTTCCGGGAGACTCCCATACACTGTTGGTCGGAGCCTTGCGGACTATGGCCCAGGGGCTCCAGTGCTTTACTATCCCAACAGTATCATCCCGCAAGTGGACTTTAAGGAAGGTCTTTTCTTCGATTATCGCCATTTCGACCGAGCTGGGGTCGAACCTCGGTATCCCTTTGGCCATGGATTATCCTTCACCACCTTCGACTTCTCGGACTTGGTCATCACAAGCCTGAAATCGAAATCACCGCTACCTGCTGCAAGGCCTCCGTCATCAATAACGCCACCAAGCTTGGACGAGAAAATCCCTTCTATTGACGGTGCGCTCATGCCAAAGGGCTTTACTAAACTTCGGAAGTTCATCTATCCGTACATCTCCAGCAAGGACAGCGTGAAGACAGGCAGATATCCCTACCCTGATGGCTACGATGCTGTCCAGAAGCCCAGTCCAGCTGGAGGCGGTGAGGGCGGCAACCCAGCGCTGTTCGAAGAGTATGTCCAGGTGCAGATACGTGTAGCCAACACCGGACATCGGAAGGGCCACACCGTGGTACAATTGTACGTCTCATTTCCTCCGTCAGTCAAGGAGCCCTCGACTGGCGAGGTCATCGACACACCAGTAAGAGTGCTGCGCAACTTCACAAAGATCGAGCTCGAGGCGGGTTCAGAACAGGTGGTCACTCTCGGTTTGACCAGAAAAGATCTGAGCTACTGGTCCGTGGTGCAACAGAACTGGGTGATGCCAGACGGACCGTTTACCTTGGCGTTTGGCAAGAGCTCTCGTGATTTGGTGTTGCAAGGGACATACTGATGGACATACTGATGGACTCAACAAACGCGCGTCGAGTCAGGCGTAGTAAGTCAGTAGCGGTGCCACGGGTTACGTTACGGGACGTGTAAGTACAGACTAGCCAATGCTTGCTGATCCTTTCTCAACCAAAGCTCCAAAGCAAGCTTGGCAAGGCCTAACCTTTTGATCTAAGGTCTGCTGGCTTTATGAGGCGCTCCATTCCTCCGCACGACCTCGGAATATTCGTGGCTCACAACACCAAACACATAGCCATACATCAACCGAGGACGGCATCTGCCACCTCTTCCCCGCAACGTCCCCCACCGAAACGGGGAACCTCTTGTGACCTTTGTCGAGTCGGCTTTGGGGTACATCAGCTTGCGGAAAGGCTCGAACTGGCATATGCGGTGGTTTCCGGTGTCTCGATTGATCCCTGAAGCGAGCTTGTCACCCTTGAGCCGAGGGTTTCGCGCTGACGCTAGGCCAGCTGTGTGGATCGATGTCACATATGTATCAGTCACTACGGGCCGTCACACATAGCACGGGTAGTCGGCCAGGCCTCATATCACCACTTCAACCCTCACCGGACCGGGTTGCCTTGATTATAAATACTTCTAAGACGCCAGCTTCCTATTGAGAGTCTTGTCCCGGTGCAGCTCAGGTTAAATACAAGTCGTCTTGACAGCTGATCCGTATTCCCTCCTTTCAACCCCTCTCCCTACCTTGTCTATACCTTATCTCTTCTCATCGATCGCTCAATCTACCGACTGGACTGCTATCGGGATTCAAGATGGCTCCAGATATCAACTCAATGGCCAACTGGTCAACCGATGGCTATAGTCCGGATCGCGTGCCCGCAGAAGGATATCAAATTCCTGGTGGGTTCATCCCCTCCCGTCCCCTTGCCCACGTTGAGGTTGGCAAGTGGCCACTTCTCTTCCTCTGGAAATTCACTGCCCCGATCAGAGCATTTGCCTCTACGACAACAGCTCCGCTTGATTCGCGCTTCGAGCTGCGCATGTTCCCCAACGAGCTCCAGGCTGCTTCCACGGCAGTTGTAGCTTTAAGTCGATCCTGCTGGCTGTGGTATTTACTTCATGATGAAAATGGAGTTGCAAATGTCAATGCGTGCGACTTCCGCCCCCAGCCCGCTTCCTGATGGCGCTTAGGCGCTGGTCGCCCAAGCTAACCCGCATTTCTCCACCTGAAGCGTCGGGCGATCAAGGCTGCAAGGCTTCCGATTTGTTCAAAGGATGTGCTGACACGAGATGGATCAGATATCGTCATGCACGGGCCGTACACACGCAAGATCCGCGTTCTCTCAATCGGCGCAGGAGTGACCGGGATCATGAACGCTTACCACATCCAGAAGATGCTGGAGAATGTCGAGCATGTGATCTATGAGAAGAATGCTGATATTGGAGGCACTTGGTACGAGAACAGATATCCAGGTGAGTTTGCTGACTCCTCTGCTTCCGCAACCCGTTGGAAATTGTAGATGGTCTTGAGTCTTGGTTTGGTCAGATAGTTTCTTCCTAGACTCCCAAAGCCATCGGCCACCGGGCTCGACTCCTTCCGGGGTACGTCGGTGCTGTGACGCTGCTAATACCTGTTGACCAGGCTGCGCTTGTGATATCCCCAGTCACGCATACACCTATCCTTTCGCGCTGAACGTGGGTCCCACCTGGTCAAGTCTCTTCTTTTGCTGGACCATTCTGACCTGGCGTTTTTATAGCCTGACTGGCCTCGCTTCTTCTCCTACTCCCCTGATATCTGGAAGTATCTGGACAAGGTCTGTGAGGTATGGGGCCTGAGAAAGTACATGACTTTCAATACCGAGGTCGTCGGCTGCTATTGGCAGCAGGAAACCGGAGAATGGCTGGTCAAGCTGAAGCAGAAAAATCCCGATGGGACTACGCGTCTTTTCGAGGATCGTTGCCATGTGCTCCTCCACGGCACGGGAATCTTGAATAATTTCAAATGGCCGGACATCGAAGGCATGGAGAAGTTCAAAGGAAAGATTATGCATACCGCACGTTGGCCAAAGGATTACCAGGCCGAGCAGTGGAAGAAAGATCGTGTTGCGGTCATCGGGTCAGGGGTAAGGGTTCTCGCCAACTCTCATTGGGACGTACTAACGACATCGGCTTGCAGGCTTCCAGCATCCAGACGGTGCCCACCATGCAGCCGCATGCGAAGCACATCGACGTGTTTGTGAGAACAGGCAAGTCTCTCTAACACCGCTGGAAAGAGCCCCATCAATCAAGCAGCTGCCTGACCCAGCTAACACATCTGCCTTATCCAGGCGTTTGGTTCGTCCAGATTGCAAACAACTTCGGCGCCAACCACGAGTATACAGACGAGCAGAAACAAGAATTCCGCGATCCTTACAAGCTCGTCGAGCATGCCAAATCTATCGAGGATCAGGTCAACGGGTTGTGGGGCTCGTTCTACAAGAACTCCAAAGCCCAAGAAGAGGGACAGGCCGCGCTGAAGGCTCGTATGGCCGAAATGATCAAGGACGAGCGGCTCCTGAAGGGATTTACCCCCAAGTTCGGCATTGGATGCCGAAGAATCACCCCTGGAGATCCGTATATTGAGTGAGTCTTTCATCGTGTGTTCTAGCTCCGGCTGCGTCTGACGAGGGATGCAGAGCCATTCAGAAGCCCAACGTCGACGTCCACTTCACACCCGTGGTGAGGATCGACGAGACAGGGGTTATTGGCGAAGATGGCATCCACCGCGAAGTCGACACGATCGTCTGCGCCACGGGCTTTGACGTTTCTTACCGTCCTCGCTTCCCCATCGTGGGTCAGAATGGCGTCGAGCTGGCCGACAAGTGGAAGGTCTGTCCCGAAGGCTACCTTGGCCTCGGAATCCCTGAGTTCCCCAACTTCTTGACTTTCATCGGGCCAAATTGGCCGGTCGAGAATGGCAGTGTAATGGGTCCTCTGATGTATGTGTCGTACTATGCGTTGCAGATGATCAGAAAGATCCAGAGCGAGTATATTGCGAGTATCGCGCCAAAGCAGGATGTGACGGATGCCTTCAATGAGCACTGCCAGGAATGGGTCAAGCATACCGTCTGGGTGGACGACTGTCGGTCATGGTAAGCAGCCTTGCGGCGAGAAACGCTTTGACGTCCGCACTAACCCGATGTTTCTTAAAGGTACAAGAACAACGAAACAGGCCGAGTCAATGCCGTCTGGCCTGGCTCATCGCTGCACTATATCGAGGCCATCAAAACGCCGCGCTATGAGGATTACGAAATCGAATATCTTGGTCCTGCGAAGAAGAACATGTGGGCATACCTTGGCATGGGCACAGTGAAAGCTCTTGTGAACAAGGAGGATGTGTCGCCGTATCTGAATGCGGAAGCCATTGACCCGGAGTGGATGAAAGCAATGAATATCAATGCCGCCAAGCTGCATGAGACGAAGCTGAAGGACTTGCAGGAGAAGCGTGAAGAACAGAAGGAGAAGAGCAAAGAGAATGTCGAGAAGACAGCTGTTTCATAAGGTAAGGGAAGACTGGATTAGGGTGGGTAATAGGGGCGGATTCGAGGACAGTAGTTAGATAGGGGAGCTAGCCTTGTCACGTGGCCGTGATCTCTGTATAAGGACGCTCATCGCGCAATGAGGCTTGGTTCAGAGCAAATGCAATGAAACGAAACCGAAGATTGTATTTGTCGTGTTCTGTGCCACAGGCCTGTCCGTGTTTGGGGCTATAAAGCGTGGAGGGATGAGATACGAAGCCTTGTCGCTGGACGGTCACGTGCAGCGCCGCCTCGCAGAAGATAGTGCGGAGACAACGAGCCGCTGAAGGTAAACAAATAAATTAATTATTCTTCAATTGTGCTTCACCGACAAACATCGTCACAAATATTCGCGGTAACTCGCTTCGTGCCTGTACAGAGAAGCCACATACACAGCCCTCCCAATTGCACTATCATGCGTGTTTGCTAGCTGGCTACAAGACAACAACCTCTCCTGATCACGCACAAGGATCCCCAGGGACAAACGACGAGTATGGAAATCCACTCAGTGCTACCGGAAGAGCGGGCGCGAGACCCAAAAGGTGACACTTTGCCCTGGGGTTATCGCTACGCAGAGTAAGTCCTTCCCATCATCACGTTTCGATCCCCATACGCGATGACTTTCCCCCTGGAGCAAGAATCCCCCGGTGCTGACTCGTCCTCTTCGAGCAGCTCCTCGCGCAATGCCCGCCAACAAGTCGAAGAATCCGGCCCCTTCGGACGAAACAGGAGTATACGATCCACCGCGTCACGGACGCCGCGCGCCAGAACAGGCACCACGCCCGTCCGGCAGAAGGAGAATAGCGCAGTTGCCGAGTTCGGGAGGCTCCTGGCGAAAGAACAGGCGGAAGAAGAGCGGAGAAAACCTGTGTCCAAGCCCGTTTCGGCGGACGAGGTAGCCGCGGCGGAACGACCGATACAGCCAGAAGCCGTGCCTACGGAATGTCTCCTGTACGGCTACGCAGGCAAACAATCCGAGTGGAAGGTGCTCTCCAAGTTCGAGAAGATCGTCTCCCCAGGAATCATCTGTGAAGACTACCCGCGCGAAGACCCCAATTTGTTCCTCTCCTCAAACTCGCCCCTCGGCTTCTCGAGAGCGTCAGTGGTGGTTCATCAGAATCTCAGTCGCGAGGCGATCAGGAAGAGCAGGATATACCATGGCGGCAACCATTGGATCAAGGTCACGTTTGACTCGTACCAGGCCGCGGAGAGGGCATGCTTCTACAGTCCCATCGAGGTCGACGGATACATGGTCCACTGCGAGATGTGGCAGGGACGAGGACCCGCCGGGGATGCTCCGATACTGGGTGGACCGGCCTGGGGTGCCGAGAAGGCAGATCTGCTGCAGCCACAATTATCGCCGCGGAAAACGGAGTCTGGACGCAGACCGAGGACGTTGAGTTCGTCGCAGGGAGCGCGGGCCATGTCGGGCAAAGAATCGGCCATCGCGGGCTTCGAGCGAGCTCTACAGACCCTGCCGCGATCTCACACCATGCCAGATGTGCAGTACGGCCAGCCTGACGACGACCTCTCCTGGAACTCCACGACCGCCTCCTCAGCGACTGCCACGGGCGTAGACCAGACTCCTCAACCTCTGCTTCAACCTCAACTAGTCCCACAGCAGTTGACGCCCACCACGCCCCAAGGTCTGCGCTCCCGCTCTGTCCCCCAGCTCCCGAGCCAGGACCGCTCCCTCATCCAGCACAACGACTCAGAATACATGACGCACATCACGTCGGTCAAAAAGGCCAAATTGCGGCCCATCTCCGAGGCACTTCCCCCACAGCCGACCTTCTTAGAGCGCGTCTTGAGGAGCTTACCTATCGTGTCGTACTTTGTCTCCAGTAGCGCGACCACGACCATCGCCGGCACGGTGCCAGGAGTCGCGGGGAAAGAGGCGCAAAAGAAAGGCGACGTCATTGGAGAAGGGCCTTTGTTGAAGGACGACGGCACTTGGGATCTGGGGAACGGCTGGTATTGGAGCTTTTGGCACGGTGTCGACGGCTGGTTTGGGACGGATTTCTGCGGGTTGAAGGATGACTGAGAGGAGTGTCGAGCTGTATGAGCGGCGCTGGGGAAAGAATCGCGCAAAAGTTTCACGACACGCACGACGGTTGGTGTCCAGCTCTCCAATCGAGCATATGGGACTGGATTGATCTAGCACTTGCACAAGCGACGGCGTTGGGATGCAGCAACGACTTCTGAAACTTGCCTCAAGTGACGGTCACGTTCACATGTACAAAAGCCGGCGAAGTCGAAGAAAGGTAGCCTCGCAAGCACTGATCGAGGCCTCACAATCATAATCGCAACCATAAACCGGCGGAATGGCTGACTGGCGGGCGGGCTGGTCGACCTGTGTGGCCAACCACAAGTGGCCCCATCCATTTTCCTTTCAGCAATATCGATTCAAGTCATTGCATTCTTTTGTTGCTGATTGTGCGTTCCCTGTCCAAGTGCTAGCCATGTAGCTTGCACGCTGCCCGGTCGGGAGAGAGGGGCGAGAGACTTGCGACCCCATCCCCCTTTGCCTCTCCGCCCTCCTCGCTCTTTAGACACAACTGCCACCTACCATCATACAGAGACAGGCATTTTTGGAAAAGCCACTTCGCAGCGGCAACCCAAGCATACGTACGCACGCACGGATGCATGCTCAACACGCGCCACAAGGATTGTGTTCTTGCCTTTCTTTCCGCTCTACGCATCGCCTTGAACCGCTTCGCTTCGCTTCGTTCCCGCCTCACTCCTGTCACATACCAGTCGGAGTCTCCTTCGTTCTCTCCGGCTCTTCCCGGCGAACAGCCACAATCTACTCGACCTTGCCTTCGAAGTTCTCGCCCTCGACCAAATCGGGGATCTCGTCGTCGTCATCGTCGTCGCCGCCGCCTTCCTTCTTCTCGCCTTCCTTGCCTTCGCCTTCCTTCTTCTGCAGCGACTGGTACGACTCGGCGAGACGGCGTAACGACGCGAGGCTGTCCGGGCCGAGCTGATTGAGGATGCCCGGCACCAGTTCCGTCAGTTCCTTGTCCTCGCCGTTGCCGTAGATGGCGAATGTGTTGGAGGGGACCGATGCGTGGACTGTATGCGCGCGCGCGCAGAGAAAAAAATGTCAGCAGGCTGTCATGTCATGCATTGTACCGCGGTGCGCGTCTTCCAAGAAAAATATGATGCAGATCTGGGGAGTGGCGTCTCCCTTTTCTCAGGTCATAGATTTGGCAGCGTGTGTGTCTCTCGTGGCCCGGCCCGACCTCACCTGCTCTCTAGTATTTGGGAATGATGCGAAATGCTCTGCTCGGACGGGGTATAATGTTCTTACGTACCCTTCGGGGCCGCGAAATGTATCACATTCCCGTCCTCCTTGAACATGTTGACCTCCTCGATCGCCTGGATGGGCTGCACGTTCATCTTCTTCAGTGTGGTCTGCAGCTTCTTGTCGTCCGTCCCACTGCTCTTGTGCACCTTCTTGGTCTTGCGTCGGGGTGTGCCTTTTCCGCTGTGCGGTTACGTCAATGTTAGTTTTTTTTTGAGCTGGAGCTGGAGCTTGGGAAGGGCGTGGGAGTGAGCGTGTGAGCACGAGCATGAGCATGTGTTTGTTTGCTCGCATGCACATGACATGGACACACTTCACCGCATCACGGGCGACAGACATACCCTGCGTAGACGGATCGTTAGTTCAAAAGCTGCTCTATGCACCGCACTGCCTGATCCCCAACTTGGAGGCTAGGCCAGAAGTTCAGAAAAAGACATACCGATTCGCACCTGCGCCTGCATGCGCTTGAGCTTCTCCTGATCCATCTTTGCGGAGCTCTTTTTCAGCTCAACTCGACTCGACTCAAATCAAGCCGGTTTGGGTCGGTGAGCGTGGGAGAGTGGTGCCGAGCGGAGTCAAGCACACACGCACACACACAGAGATGGGGCAGGACACCAGGCTCAATCGCCGCGGTCCGAGGCCTCAGGGCAGATGTGAATAGGAAGAGTCCGCTGGACAAAAAGGCGGGAGAATACAGGTATCAGCAAAAGCTTGGAATCAAAGCCTTTGCGTCCTGGATGTGCACGGGTTTGAACGTGCGGAAGAGAGATGATGGTTCGTCCGACTGAGTCTCAGTGCTGCCGGGTAAGTGGTCAGTGTTAGTGGTTTGTGTTCCGGGGCTTTATAAAAGTCTTGGCATTGTGCGGATTAACCTCGGGTGCGGGCGGGATGATTTTTCTCCGGGCTCCGATGCTCACGCCGTGACGCTTAACAGAGTACTCCGTACCCTCATCGCTTTGTTCACAGGCATTCCGCTCAGCGGTGCTCAGGCACCCATCAGGCTCAGCGTGAGGAGCTTATGGATTATTACTTCAGCCGTCGTGGATGCAATGAAATTACCGAAACCAAATCACCGCCCCTTCAGCTATCTGGGCCTTGCATGGTACGGCATCCAGCAATGGAATCTGGTCAGCTTGATGTCTGCAACCTCGATAAATGTATTACGTGCGGCGTGCCAGGCTGTGCAGCCCTAAGCGCCGCGCACAGACCCTGAGGATTAACTCGCCTGTCCCTGTCCAGGGCCCGTTCTCGCTTTCATGCTGCTGGCCGTTGACTGTATCCCTGACTCAACCCAAAGTAAACCATTTGTCGTCAAGCTTCTCTTACTGCTCGAAGATGTCGGACAAGGTCGTCGTTCTCATTACTGGGGCGAACCGAGGTTAGTTCCTGGGTTCTTACAGGGTGTGTTCTTGAGTGATGACACAGTCCCCAAGGGATTGGAAATGGTCTTCTGTCGAACGTACCTTGCGAGACCGAAACATATTGTAGTCGCCGGCGTTCGTGACCCAGGCAGCGCTTCGTCCCAAAACATCCAGATGCTACCGCGTGGCATGGATAGTCAAGCGATAGTGGTTAAGCTCGACAGCACTTCAGGGACCGATGCGAGAGCGGCTGTCGAGACGCTGACATCGAAATACAGTCTGACCAAGCTCGACATTGTCATTGCAAATGCTGGTATCTCAAAGTATTTTGGAGCAGCCTCAGTGACACCGGCACAGGAAATGTCCGATCATTTCGTGGTAACACTATCGCACCGTTACTCCTGTTTCAAGCTACCGCTCCTCTTCTCAAAGCAGCACCGGCTCCAAAATTCGTGGTCGTGTCATCCGGTGCCAGGGAGTCTCAGCCAGGTGGTCAAGCTTCCGGTCGAAAACACCGCTTATGGCGCGTCTAAAGCCGCCGTCAACTATGTCAGCCGCAGAATCCACTATGAAAACCCATACCTAACTGCATTTGCCCTCAACCCAGGATGGCTCCAGACGGAGGTAAGTCGACTTACACGTCCTGTGGTCTCGAAAGGCTCACCCTCCACCATAGCTAGGAAATCATGCTGCAAGAGGAGTAGGGATGGCGGCCGCACCCGTCTCCGTTCAGGATGGGGTCAACGGCATGATCGAGCGGATCGACAGGGCGACGAGAGAAGGGTCATCTGGGAAGTTCTTGTCGTTCAACGGCGAAGAAATCCCTTGGTAGATATGACCGGGTCTGGCCTCTGCCTCCTGTTGGAGGGACTAACACAACCAAGCTATGGGTCATAGCTCACTCGTTTGTACCATTAGCACTCAGCCGGCTGTAAAGAAATGGATTTGATTCAGAACACAACGGCACTTCATATCTTCCAATTGTGATTGGACTGGTCAGACGTGACGAATCACCACACATGCATATGTCCGCCAATATGAATGTGATCAAACAGCATCTGCGACAACTCTGCTCGATGATTTCTGGGAAATTCTCATAGCGAATACCCCGTTCTGAGGCGGAGGTGGGGAACGCCTTGAGCTTACACCTAGCTTCAAGCTCCCAATCGTCCTCGGATCAACAACCTGGTGCTTTGCTTAGACAGAGAATGCGTATCAGCACATGGGACCGTTGCTTGGCGCGATCTTAGGGGTCAATCAGTCACCTACGGTGACGACACGCCACTTCAAACGGTCCTTCAAGAAGGCTGGCACGTCACAGTCGGTTAGGCTCTGCAGCTGTCGACCTCGATGTAGTCAAGCTGGATCGAAGCGATGTCGGTGGTGTCGGCGACGAGCACGGCCTGCTCGAGGTCGCGACCGCAATTGTCTCACGCCTGGACGGGCACCGCAAAGACATTGGTCATGGGACATCCTCTAGAATGGGCAGGAGATCCTATGGTAAGCTGGCCAAGGTCCCAGGATGATAATGAGGATACGTTTCACATCGGAAGCAGAGCATGCTGAGACTGTCGAACAAGAGCCACTGGAGGACAGATGAGAGAGGCCCGGCCCCCAAGGCAAGTTGGCCAGCACGAGCCTTAAGAGTCCCAGATTCGTAGACGCGATTTCGGGACATGGTAATGTTGCAAATGGCGGTACGTCGCACCACAAGAGACGCACCATAGAGGCCTGAGTGTGGCTGGGGGGTAGGAGAGACGTGATCAATGCGAGGCAAGGTTTCAAGAGCAACCGACACTCAAGAACGAGGAGAGTCCGGCCATGGCGATCTCTATGAATCATCATCGGATGAGGTACCCAGGGCAACGTCCTATCACAAAGGAACGCCTTATCAGGAACTGAAGAGCCATCGTGCCCGCTATTGATCGTGAATAAAGTAAGGAGGAGTGTGAGCAACGGCCTGACAGGGGCCACCTTGGCTGAGCAGGCACGTAGGTGAAGGTGAGGCTGAGCCGAAATTGAGCCAGGTCACCTGATTCAGATTGAACGGGCGGAAATCCTGCACAGGACAGTAGCTTGTCACGTGCCCGTACAAGAGCTGCCACGCGGGATAATCGGTCGGCTTACCGGACAAACCTCGGTATCCCAGGCTGCGGCGTGTAGAGTGGTGCCATATCGCAGTCAATGCTCTCTTTCTGTTTGCACTGAGTTTGTCCCCATTGACCTGCATTCACGTTATCGAAACAATCCGGGCAAACCCCCTGCCGGTCTTTCAGCCTCGATCCTCTTACCTGAAGTCTCATTCTTGGTCAAAATGGCGGGAAAGCATGCGCTGATCGTCCCTGCTTTGAAGAAGCATACTGCGACGGTGATCATGGCACACGGATTGGGCGACAGGTGGGCACATTGAAGCCCAGCTTGCAAAAGAGAAAGATGCAGAAGGCTGACGCGAGACATGCAGCGGAGCAGGCTGGTGAGTTGCGTTCTACAGGAACCCGGCGGCAGTCCCGGGCGTGGAGCGGTAAAGGGCTCACTGGAGGCAGGGTATCGCTGGCTGAAACCTGGCGACGGCGTGGGAAGTTTGAGGACGTCAAATTCGTCTTTCCCAACGCACCGAACATCCCCATCACAGTGGTATGTTGCTGGTGTGCTCTGGCAGGTGGTGAGGAGCTGGGCACAACAAAGCTAACGGAGGCGGTAGAATTTTGGCATGCGTATGCCGGGTTGGTACGATATCGTAAGGCGCCGCGAAGATGTTTGCACTCCTACCCTGCATATACCCGCTTTCAGCCACCACTTCGAGGACCGCAACGGCTGATAAGACATTTGACGGGTTAGACCGACTTCTCCGATCTGAAGCAAGCTCACGACGAGCCCGGCATCCTGCGCTCACGGATCACGTTCACCAAACTCATCACTGATGAGATCGAGGCGGGCATTCCCTCAAATCGAATAATCTTGGGCGGCTTCTCACAAGGTGGCGCCATGTCCCTCTTCACTGGCGTCACCACACCGCATAAGCTGGGTGGAGTGTTTGGGCTGAGTTGCTACTTGGTTTTGGGAGACAAGATCAAGGACTTTGCGAAAGAAGCGAACGAAGCGAACAAAGATACGCCCTTCTTCATGGGCCATGGTGATGCAGATGAGGTCGTCAAGTACACATGGGGACAACAGACAGCGGAGGTGTTGAGGAAGGAGTTAGGCCACAAGGTCGAGTTCAAGACGTACCGGTAAGTGGTCATCACCAATGTGTGCCAAGTTCTGTGGAGGTTTGATGGCTGACGGCATTTGCGCAGTGGCTTGCCTCATTCAGCTGTACCAGAGGAAATCGATGATTTGGAGGAGTTCATCAAGAAGTGTCTGCCGGCAAGCGAATCGCTTTGACTAGGTGACACTTCTGCAAAGCAAGGTCACTGCTGGCTCATACTCGGCCTGGTGATATTGCTGGTTCTGATTGCATGCGCGCTCATTGGAAGGTCACGGGCTCGGCGCGAAAAGACGAAGAAAGCATAGACAGCATGTTGGTGCCAATAAGGATTCAACAGATGGTCTTTTATTGTGGGCTATTTTCTCTTTTGGGATCTTTCGACCTCGACTTGATCTCTGACTGTTCCGACGTCACTTTACGCAGCACCCTGCTTGCGCTGGCCAGTGTAGAAGGCGAGGCCGTAAGTGTTGGTCTTGAAAGTGATGACTGAGCCCTTGGGGAAATAGAAGACATCACCAGCGACGGCCTAGAAGTAGAGAGTCAGTCAGGATCAGAGAACTTGGTTGGGAGTTAATATGTACGTGAACGGATTGACCGGTCTCATCACTGATATCGAATTCTCCTTCCAGGATAATCTTCATCTCATGGTAGGTATAAGTGTAAATGAGGGGAGTGCCCTTTTCGAGTCTGTAGATGCCGCAGCTGATGGGCTTTTCAGGGTCGATCTTTTCGCTGCTTGCAACGTCGCCAAGGAAAGCGTTCTCGTTGGCAATCAAAGGAGGCTTGAATTCGGATTGAGTTTTGGGGAAGTAATTGAATGCTGGTGTGCCGCCCATCTTTGCTGATGCTGCTGGAACTGCTGTTTTAGATTTGAGGTGAGTTTGCTGAATGCTACGCCCGCTGCTTGCAGAAAGGCGTACAGACTTGGGAACAAGAGAAAGCTGCAGATGGGTAGATGTTCGTCCAGGGACAGGACGCGAAGCTCGACGACTTATACTTCTGGACCGGTCACCTCCCACTACCTACCATGTACATATTACCGGTCGGCTGTTGCCCCAGTCATCAGCTAGGAGTTATTCGACTTCGAACGACGCGGTTGAGGACAACGCCTGAGCAAGGCCCCGTGCGGCAACGTATCAGATTGCATGTACGCTGCTCTGTGTCAGAGCCGGTGGATTCGAGCCAGTCGCCGCTTCCCAGAAGTAAAGGACAGGTTAGACGCGCAAGTTATGATTGTACAGTGTGGAGGGACAAACATGCCCGAGAGGGTAAAGCCCTCGAAGATGATTAACGAGAACGAATGGAAGCTCACCGCGAGGCCTTGGAGGGGTAAGTGGGATGAAGAGACAAGGGCCAATCAGCACACGTCACTCACCCGATAAGGAAGATAAGGCTCGGAGACTGGGCATGTTTGTTTGCTTTGCAACCCATTTGCCGCTTGGGTCGACATATCAGCCGCTTCGTGGTCAGCTCGAGCAAAGATTTCTGCAGAATGGGCTTGGGATGATTCAGCTCCAGCTGTTGTGCTGACATGCATTTATATGATATTGATACACGAAGGGCGACTCAAACATATCCCCGAAGAGGTACAAGGCTACAGTAGCTGCCCAACTGCAGGAGCCAATGGGAAGCGGGGCAGCGAGATACAGTAAGAACGATGCGAGCAGGAAGGTGCGATGTGAAGCTGCGCTTTCTCTTCAGGTTTTACTGACGACCGCTCCGACTTCTGCTCCTCGCTCTTCTCAAATCTACCGTCTCGAGCTCCCTCGTCTCTCAGACCGCCCACGAGTTGTTATTCGTCGAAGACCCAGCCTTGTCTGGACATGTCCGCTTCGTCTCGCGCGAAACTCAATTGAGCAATCATTTCCCTACCTACCAATCCTCGGCACAGTCCTTCAAGCTCGCAACCCTGCGTTCTCGGCCCCGCAGCGCCCGAGAAGTCGGGGGCGTGACTTGCGCACTTTGCCTCTTCTGGGTAGGAATTCGTTGCCGCAGGCACTCGGTGGCCGTCCCCGTTGAGGGTGAGAAAAACTTCACTGAAGGTGGTAACTCGTATCTTGTGTAACACACCCGCACGAGGCTCCGTCCCACCGTTTGCAGGGAACATGTCGCATCCCGGGAGGGGATTCGATCGTTGATGTCACACGAATGTCACGAGAGAGCACAGGGGCTTGATCGATTACAATAAAAATATCTCATAACCATATCGACGATAGCATTCAGCGTGGGACGCTCAACGCGCAGAATCCGCAGACTCCACCAAGCCTGCAATGCTTACAGTACCAAAACTCGATAATCAGCCTGCACCGGTCGGTTCCCCTCGGTTTTAGGATAAGATCTCCTTTGGCTTTCCTCATCAGTATTCTCTCACGAGGAATCCAGGGACAAAGCTGCATTTAAATGCAAAGATATCCCTCTCTTTCGCAAAGCGCCCGACTCCACAGCTCGCGACTGGACTCAACACTGCTGCTTTCTGTCATCCTGGCACTGGCTTTGCTTCGCCTCCAATAGGCTGTTCTCCACACGCACCATGCAGTCGAATGGACAATGGCCCCTCGGTGGGATTTCCATCCCATGAGAATCTTTCCCCTCCTTCTCTCCCACCCCAGCGAGTCCAGTGGTCAGTGGGCAAGGTATCTCGCACGCCATCCTGCTCAGAGCGAATAGTTTACTCCTGGTCGAGGCTTTCGACGGTCCTACTGACGAATAATGTCGTTTAGTCCGTTCCGTGTTAGTGTCTTCCACCTTGCGCCCGCCGAGCCATGGAGCCTGCCGAACGCAGCGTGGCACGCCGTCTCAAAAGATGCACGACCATGGGACTCACTACTGTGGCATGATGCCATCATGCCTTTTCGCCTCTTGCTGCAAGCCCCATACCTTATTGTCCTGCTAGACGAGGTAAAGCCTGTGGTCCGAGCCTCGAAAGGCTCACTACTAACATCCCATCATTCCACCCGAGTCCATCCATCTTCTCCATCGAGAACCACCAGTACACGATATTTCCGGCTCAGAGCAAAACTCTCATCCCAAGGCAAGGCCTGAGCTTGCTCTCTGCTCCTGGCCCTCATATTTTTACTCCTTTGAACAAACCTTGAAACTCCACTCCTGGGATCTCCTTGGTGACATGATCGCAGGAACCTGTCGAACTCTTCCGCCAAAGCCTTACTGACCGTGATAGCCGGCCTGCCGCATCTCTGCTCGCACTACTACGAAAAGACTCCCGGCCTCGACCCACGACTGCGACTCTCCTCTCCTGACCGCTTACAAGAACAGAAAAGTAATTCAGTCCCGGGCCAAAGCAACATCGAAAAGTTCGGCTACGTGCTGACCAGCGAACAAAGACAAAGCCCAGCTTCCCCACACTTTTTGCCTCCGCTCGTCCACCTCTGACAGTCCATCTCTCTTCACCCACCAGTTTCTATAGCTTAGGGGGCCAAGAAAAGAAAATCTACACTTATTACTTCTCGTACCACATACACATCCTCTTTCCCTTCGACCTCTCCACGGAATCTCTGGTCCAATCCTTGGACGTGACTGAACGACGAGCCGACAGCACCAACTGGATCTCTGGAAAACTGCCCTTGCACAAAAAGGATAACTTTGATCTCCCAAGGCAACTTCGAGAACACGACGACGAACAACAAACCCGCACGTGAAAAAAAGGCCGCCAACCCCAGACCAGCAACAGCATCAACAGCAGCATCAACAGCAACAACCCGCGCTCGCGACATACCTGTCCGCGTGAGACCTGGAGGTCCCCGTACGTCCTGTAAATATCCCGCCTGACGCGCCCCCCTCCTTTTTGCAACATACCAGAAGCGACAAGAACACAGATCGATCCACCATTGACAGCTTAAAGGCCCTTGGACAGTCCCGAGAGAACTCCATTGCGACCGGGGCCGTGAAAAGAAGCAGCCATCCGCGAGAGAGAGAGAGAGAGAGAGCGCGCGCCACACGCAGCATAATTAGGTCCATAGGTACTGTACCGAGAGGATCCCCTGGACCGCCGACATCGTAACCTTTTGGCGACAATGGGAACCTGACGTCGCCTTGTTTCTTCTCCTGACATACATATATTCGCGCCGCGACATCTCTGGGTTTGGAGACCTGATCTCGTTTTACTATCGCCCGCGCCACGTTCACGCACGCCATTGCATCCCTACAACGCTTTGCGAACGGTCCAGAACGGCATCACAAATCAAGCCATAGCGATAAATGTACGGAACGCCTCGCGCCAAAAAGTCAATTCCAGTCCAGCTTGCGGAGACGCCGTACTCGTAACGCTTTACCCGATATCGCAAAGAGAGCCTGAGCAGCACCCGCATTACCAAAGCAGTATTACTCCCACAGCACCTTTACACCGACGCCACAAGCGTCCCAGGCAAACCACAGACCCAAGCGCCAAAGCACCATCGCACAGTCGGGAGCATTGACCCAGTCCGGTCAGCTGCCCTCCGTCAAACGCCACCCAAGCCCTCAACCCCCCCAAGCGCCGCGCAAAAAGACAAGTCATCAGCTCAGTCCTAGAAATTCCATATCTCGTCACCCTAGGCGTGAAGCGCCCAGTCATTCCAAAGCGGCCACCCAAGAACTACAGCCACCACCATAGCTGCCTGGTTGTGATTCAATCCATACCTCGAAACAGTCGAATCTTCCATCGGAAATTCTGACGGCAAAAGATCAAAATGTCGGCCTCGTTAGAGCTGCACCCTCAAAGCAAACGGAACAAACCTACTCCCACGCCCACTGCACCTCTGTCACCCGTCCCCATGTCAAGGATGAGTCAAAGCGTGGAGCTCGATGAGTATACTGCCAGTATGCGGAGTTATCTGGCCAGCATCGAGAATGTGGCTGGTGCTAACCGCAAGCGAGCTGCGGACCACGACGCCAACCGAAGCAAAGGAAGGACGGAGTGCGGGAGTGGCAGTGGGAGGGAAAAGTCGCCCGAGTTTCGTTGGATGGATCTCGCTAGCTTGAAGAAAGAGCATGGGAATGTGACCCACGGTCTCCCCGCGGCGGGTGAAAACCGGGTATCGAAGAGTGTCGCCAAGTCGATCAATCACCATCACCATGCTTCAAAAGATACACGCCAGCATCACCGAGACCATCGACCCGCCAGTCCTGCGGGAAAGGCAGTGTCTAGCAAGAGACATCCGGCACATGCGGGGGCGAAGTCAACCGAGAAAAACTGAAGACGGCACGTTAGCTGGCTTCACACGACCATTGAAAGGCGAGGATGAAGGGAACGAATGCGACGTACCTTCCCAGTCTCGGTCGGCCATGACGCCTAGCCAATGCAAATGCCCTCTCACTGTGTACTCACGTTCCAGTTGATCTGGCGAGATTATGTCGCTCGTTTGGCGGCGAGGCATTGAGATAGATGGCATATTCGACGGCATGTTTGGCATACCATTTCCATTTCCCATGGCATCTGTGGTCACGCGACGTTTGAGTGGCCGCCCAGTTGAATCCAGCTCTTCCAATCCGCCCGACTGCTGACGCTGAGGTTGGTTCTGGTTGCGAACAAACAGTCCGTTGTCACCCATCCCGCCAGAGTCGACGGTATGTGCCTTTCTCTTCAGCCCAGGTGGAACCTCCAGCACGGGTGGAACGAAATTGCCACCTGGGACACCACGACTCGCGTATTGTCTGAGCAGTCTGTTTGCCTTTTCACTCTCATAAGTATCTCTGCGGTGCCAGACTTCTTGTACGACACTCCAACACGAGCTAACATTGCCGATTTTGAGCCGAGTAATCATGGCTGCCCAGCGCTGAGTCACCCAATTTCGGTCCTCCGGGTCCGTGACTTCGCAGCTGGCTGCAAAGAGGGGAAAGATTTGGACAATCGTCGCTCGCGACGACAGAGGAACGGAAGCCAGTGTCACCAGGACCTTTTTCGCCAGCGAGAATGCTGGATCACTGGGGATTTCAGGAACCGCCTGATGAAGATAGAGCAAGGTAGCGTATCGATAGGCTTCAGCTGTTTGTATCGAGTGCTGAACCTCTGAGTTGGGGTCTTCTGGCCGCTCAAAGACCAAAACATTAGGCACTTGCCATTGTTGTAACTGCTCCTTCAGCTCCATGGCGGTTGAGACCACAGTGAGAGAATTGGACTCTGTCTTTCGTACGCGCTGGATGAGATTCGCCACGCGACCAATCAAGGGGAAGAGAGTTGTGGCACAGCCCATCAGCGGATCCACCTCCACTTGATCGCCGTAGGAGGCATTGACGGTCGCGAGAATCTCCTCGAAGTTGAGCTCATGGGCTTCCTCTAGGGACGTCAAGCGAGCGATAACGTCCATGTAGACAAAAGTGTTGCAGAGAAATTTGAGTCTGTTCGCATCTTGAGTCGTCATCTGGCCTACTTGCATATCGCGCCTGTGTTTCACCACTGCGTTATTGACCATGACTTTTGCGCCGCGGAGGTGTTGCACACCTGTGCTCACATGCCGATCCCACCCTTCGCCGAAAGCTAGGGCCAAAGAAGTTGCCAGTGCCGAGTCCAAGCGCATGTTCTCAATCTCGGACGCGAGACGCTTGATGGCCTTTGTCATATGAGCCATCCCCGGCACATGCAAACTCGGCATCTCATGCGCTCCATGAAAGGCCGTCATGGACGAAATAGCATGGTACAGTGCTGGAGACTCTCGAGCGAGCGGCCAGATCAAAGTGCGCCACGGGTTTTCCGTCGGACCGTCCTTGACAGACAGAATACCGCAGGTTTGTTTGTCGAAGCGCAGCATGAGCATCTCTGGTGATGAGGCATCGAGTGAGGGCTGAGCAAGGAGTGTCATGTCGCTGGATCGTGAGGACGCGGTAGACGTCTCGCTTGGTGTGGGTGACGATGCACGGAACGCCTGGAAGTCGGGCTTAGGGAAAGCGGGATCCAGAAGTGACGAGGGGGTGGGAAGCTGCATGGCGGCAGACGTAGCGATGGCGTCCGATCTAATGATCTCTTCGTCGAAGTCCTCTTCCACCTGCATCTCGGTGGGCAAAGACATTGGCGGATGTATTTCCCGTGGCCCCGATAGCTGCTCCATCTCTGTATCCGACAGAAGCAGATCGAGCAGCTTGGGAGAGCCCGGTGAGAATGACTTGGCACTATTACTGTCGTTGATAGAGGACCTTGTGGTGGTGGTGGCCAGACTGTACGGATCGATTGCATCGCCAAATGCTCCGCCTGGAGAGACGTCCCCAACCTCAAACGCAGGCATGAAGACGGTCTCCGGTGTCAAATCCAAGGGCGTTGACTGTCCATTGCTAAAGTCGAAATCTCCCTGTCGGTCTGGACTCGATGCCAGGCTCTGATCTTGGCCTTCGTGCTGATCGTGGAATGCATGAGCTGCTGTTTCGAAAGCAGAATGCAAGCCTGGTGACCATGTCTGCGAAGGGTGGGAGCTATCGACGACGACATGCGTCGACTCCAATCGCCCGCCACCGGCGATATGAAGAGGCTGTGTCACGTTTTGGCTTGTAGAGAACGAATTCGATCGAACGGGCTTTCTCCTCGCCGCCGGTCTTGCCGCAAAGGTGGTTTCCTCGAATGTCCTCCATTTGTAGTCTTTCTTGTACCCTTCGCATACCACGCTTCTCTTCTGGCATTGCACACAAGAGGGTTTTGTCTCGTCACATTTCAGTCGTTTCTTCTTGCATGTCATGCAACCTTTGTGCGAATAGGTCAGTTGAGCAACACTCGCAAGCAGGGTTGTGTTGAGCCGGTGGGTGCTCCCACCACAGTAAGAGGACATACCGTTTCGGCTCTTACTCTGCTTAGGTTTCGTCACCGCCCCATCTTGGACCGACTTGTTCGCTGGCTTAGGAGGAGCATTGACTTTGGGTTTCGTGATAGCCGCTTTCTTCGGTTGCACAACCGGCGCGGGAGTAAGGACGGGAGACTTTCTTAGGAAAACGGACGGAGAAGGGATCTGGACCTCCATGCGATGCTGGGAATGACAGGCGACATGGACCCGCGCAGAGAACCGTCAACCTCAACCAGCGTCCGAGCAGTATGGCGTGGTCCGCGAGTGGAGGGTATGTGTCGTGGGCACTGCAACCCAGGCGGGGAAACAAATAGGTGCAAAAAGAGCGCAACGCTGCTGCTAGCAGTCCTGTTTCGAGGACCGAACCAGATTAAGACAATACCAAAGGCGAGGCGACGGAAAGATTGTTCAGAATGCTAGAGATGTGAAGGAGGGGAATCTGGCAACAGCACAATTGAGAAAGTGAGGTAGCAGTGCGGTCCTGTTGGCGGCCAATGCCAGCGTGACTGGGGAGCTTGTCGGGATGGAAGCCAATGAGCGTAACGGCATCTGGGCTGATCTGGAGCATCAGAGGAAACCGACGGCGATGGAGGAAAGCCAAAAAGCCCAGAGGCAAAGTGCGAGCGGTGATGTCCAGACTTACCGGCGAGTTGCTGCAACTGCGAGTGGCTGAGGAGCAAGTGAGAAAGAGGGACCAAGCGACCTAGCCGGATGAGACCCTGTTTGAGGATTCTGAATTCGTTCCGTTATCTCTGGCGAGATACGCGAAACCCGGAGAGACCAGGCGGCTGTCATGGTCCCCGTCGTTATCTATCAGTGCAAGTTTGGGCGACGGAGCTTCACCCGTGCTTCCGCCGCCCTGCTGCAGGCATCGACAGGCGCCTAACAGGGCGAGACTGATGAGTACCTGTGAGTAGTTAGGGCGGCTTCTCGTCGAAACTTGGGGTAGAGACCCCCTACGCCCGCGCAGTGAGGGGCACCCACCACCCACTACCCATACTAGGTACCTCGTAGCCCGTACTGGGAGTGACTGCACGAGGCTGATGGCGAACGCCTACGACACGGCCTGGGCCTGATCCACTTCTTCTCAGCGTCCGTTGAGACGGTGGCGTCGCAGCCCCGCCGCGCAGGCGAATAGACACGCAGCGATTGCAACGTCCGCTCATCTTATCACGCGCAGCTGCACACGCACTTTCTGAAGACGTGTTGTTGGGTCAATGTTACACTGAAATCATCATCCAGACTACCGGAACGACACCTCCTACCTATATATCCGACCTCATGTCGCAGACAGCCGTCTTACAGCAAGCCTGAAGGCATCTTGCCTCACCTCGAGCACGTCCGCCTCTCAACCCCGGGAGGGGAGCGGTTCCGCACACGCAATGCGAAAGATTTTGTCCACAGCCTCCCAAGGTGGAGTATATCTGCGAGGGTCGGAGTTGCACAAGAGTCAAGACACGGCAGAAGAGACCACGTAGTCATGAATATTCCAAATTGCCAGGGGTCATGTTACACAGCGCTGCTGGTGTGGTCTGGTCTGGCATCGCAGGCCTAGCTGATCAAGCAGTGAGCAGGACGAGAAGGCACAGAAGGAGCACGATTACATGGCAACATCTCAACCGCCCATCTCTCGGGGCCAACCCCTGCCTTGAGCAGCCGCAGGACGATCGCTTGGGTCGCTACGCAAGCTTTCAGCCTCGTCCTACCTGTCAGTGCCGCTCTGTGTATCTGGCGACGGACACACACGTGCGATTTGATCTGCGCTCGTGATGCCTATATAAGGGCTTCTTTCATTGGCATCCTACTAAGACGAACCGATGACTGCTTCAACCAGGTATGGAGGGTACCGCCTGCCTCCGCGCTGTCTGAAGTTCAGGCCTTTCTTAAGAGATTAAATGAGTCTCGTCCCACGGCGCTCTGTGTATGAGCGTCGTTTGGTGTGTCGGAACACACTCTAGACAACGGTCTTCAGGCTCTGCTACTGCATCGGATCGCAGAACCCGAGGTGCAGGTGAGTTCTCACACTTGGTGATTGGTGGGTTTGCCGAAGTACATGCTTGTCGCCTTGTTGCGGCTGGGGGGCCAGCCATGAAGTAGGCATACAGCCTGACTTCCAGCCTCAGTCCCGAACACTGCAAATATCCATTTCCACTTTGTCCATGCTTGCAGGCTGGCCGGCTTTCACAATCCTCGACGCCCCCAGTGCCATTTCAGCGGTCTGCTAGTTAGTCTTTGTGGTCAACAAGGCGTGCACAACCCAAGTGTGGGTACGAATAGAACCGCCTTTCAATCTGGCGAGACGAGACAGCAATGGCAGTCAACACTGCAGGGTGGATGTCCAATACATCTGACTTGGAAGCAATCAAGCCTGCATCAACCCAAGCCACCGAGCCTCACAAAGATTGGCCGTGGAATCGGAACACGAGAGGCCTGCCATTTACTGTGCTGGCACAGGCCCTCAGTTCTACGTCAAAGGGGTGTGGCGTCCAGGAGTATATCTATCAGGGCCATCTTCCGAATGCGATCTCGATACTGAAGTGGAGACCCTACAGGGGGGCGGCGACGGTCGAGGACCTCGTTGCCATCCTCAAAGTGAGGGTGATACCCCCAGGGCAGGATGCTTGCTTACGACTACTCAGACTCCAGCAGATGCCTACAGCACATTCTTGTAAGCATCATCGACGTCTCTCATTGTCCCTCGCTCTCCCTGATCCATTCTCTCGCACCAGCATCGTGACCGACACAAGTCCCGAGGTGATCCAAGCGTTGGGGTATCACCTCCATATAACGCCTCGATTCTTCGATATCCCGTACACGATCCTCAGCACCGGGAATCGGGTGCGACAATGTTAGAGACTCCTCATGACGGTCAATTGCCGGCTGACGCTCGGGCCAGATAGCTTCTTCTCGCTTCAACTGATGGAAAGGTATTCTCTAGGTGAACGTCCGGCCGAGGCATGTCGCAATGATGCAAGTCCGCGTACTCGATTCTCTGCGAAGGGCGGCCCATTGCCGCACGAATGGCATGTGACGCGAGTGGCCGTGATCTTCCTCATAGATGAGACCAGGCAGAACTTGTCCAAGGGCCTCGTCCTGCTGGACAACAAAGACCAAGCAATTGCGAAGGCTCTGGAGAAGTTGATGATGCGTGACGAGGCCACGGTAACTGGAGGCATGGGGACAGTTGCTGGACAAGGTCAGGTCCTAACAGGGCTCTTCCATATCATCAACGTCACATGGGATGTGTTCCTTGGGGAGGCCGAAGCACATTTACGCTATCTCGTAGGGTGCGATCTGGCCCCTGTGTCACGAAGGATGTTAACCGAAGCAGAGCGTCAAATGCATCGATGAAGACCTGTCTCCGACGGACCAGCTGAGATATACGCGCGAGCTACATCAGCTCTCTCCACTCTGGGTGCAGGTCCGCCGAAGGCTGCTTGCGACCAGGACGGTTGCGAAGCAAATGATGGCTCGTCCAGACCTCATATCGAGATTTGTTCGTCCATACTACACAGAGGATGACGCACAATTCTACACAGGTGACGAACATGAGGCATTCGAAGGCTACATGAACAACTGCGTGAACGTCGTCGAAGACCAGATCGATCGATCGAAAGAGCTCGCAGAAGAAACAAGCAACTTGATCAGTCTGGTATCTAACGTCGCTCCACCAGCATCGCACACACCCGTGCTGATCAGCTAACAGATCCTCAACATCACCACGATGCAGGACACCAGAGCCACGATCGCGGAAAGCAAAGCAGCGAACGCTTTCGCGGCGAGCATTCGGCGGATCACGGTCCTGACCTTTGTGTATCTGCCATTGACTCTGGCGGCGGTACGAAATCTCCATTCTCCTATCATCCACAAGGACCCCAAACCATTACAGGCAGCTTGCTGCCCACAGTCCTCGTGTTATCTGTCTGCAGCGTAGCTCACGCCCTTGCTCGGATGTGATCCAAACCCGTTCCGTCCACTAATGGTGCCGTCTAGGGAATCTTCGGGATGAACGTTCAACAGATCACGGGTCAAGCCGGGCAACCACAAGTGTGGTGGTACATCATCGTTGCGATGTCGTTAATGGCGGCATCTTTTGGCGCATGGTGCCTGTGGTCACGATTTGGAGGAGTCTTTGATAGGAAAGCTCGGCGAAGGATGGATATTGAGGGATTGAATACGGTCGCTCCGTGAGCAGCGACCATCCGGGATCGCGTGCGAACCCTAAGAATGATGCTAAGGAACAACGCTGGCTCCATGGTTGCTGTAGCTCCGGTTGTTTGAAAAAGCAGATTACGTGTCACCACCACGCCAACGTATCATACGTGTATGCAAGCCGAGACACAGAGACAATCGAGAAAAGCTAGAAGTTTGACGGGGTCAATGAAAGTGTTCCTCTAATTTTCCTTGGTAGTGATGCTCGCATGCTGTGATCGCGCTCTCCCGCCACGCATCGCCCGCTCCGTCAGCAACACATCTATACATGGACGCCAGAACCGTGGTCTAAACTGCGGTCCCGTCCCTTTTAGACCAATGATACGCAATTTCTCTCGGTAGAATCCCGTATCAGGATTCCCGTTCCCCAAGCCTCGCCTACCTAGTCACTCAGTCACTCAGTCGCCCAATCGCCCAATCGCCCAATCGCCCAATCGCCCAGTCACTCACTCCCTCGCTTTCTCGGCTAATTCTTGTGCTTGAAATTCTGCGCCAGCCCCGGCCACTGCTTCTCGAACGCGGCGACCGTGTCAAGAATGCTCCGGTCGTAGGGGATGAAGCGCTCGACGCCCAAGGCCCGGTACGCCTTTGTGGCGACGGTGCTGGCCTCGTCCTCGGGGAACCAGTAATCCGACCTGTAGCCCTTGCCGGGCTCGCCGACGACGATGTCCCTGTCCGGGAAGGCCTCGCGCAACAGGTCCGCGGCCGCCTGGGGCGGCGCCTTGCCGTTGGACAGGATGTACCTCTGGCCGTCGCTCTCGGCCGGGTGCTCGGCGGCCCAGACGTGCATGCGGGCCACGTCGCGCACGTCGATGTAGCCGGCGCCGCCGATCGGCGGGGGGATAGTACCCTCGGGAGTGGTGCCGCTGTAGATGCGCCAGATGGGGAGTAACGTGGTGTTGAGGGCCTCGGGGTGCTGGGGCCACGAGACGGGCGGGCCCGTGACGACGGCCGGGTTGATGGCCGCGACGGCGAACCGGGGACGGTTGGCGGCGCGCCAGTCCCACAGCGCGCGCTCGGCCGCGGCCTTGCTGGCCCCGTACGCCACGGGGGCAGAGAAGTCGGCGCGCGCCACGGCCTCGCCGGACTCGTTCCAGTCGGACTCGGTGTACGCGTGCGTAGGGGGAAGGCGCCAGCGGTCGACGATAGCGGCGATCGACGACGTCACCACGAAGCACGTCAGTTGTGGGCCCGCCGCCGTGCGCGCCGACTCCAGGATCGACAGGTTGCCGCCGACGGCCGGGCCGAAGAAGGCGTCGACGCTCCGCAGCGTGAAGTCGACGGGCGAGGCGGTGTGGATGATGGCGTGCACGCCGCGGACCGCGTCGTCGAACGCCCCCGGCGCCGTCATGTCCGGGACCACGTGGTGTTCGTACCGCCCGGCGTCGTAACCCCGGAAGGCGCCCGCGACGAGATGGTCTCCCGCGCTCGCCGACCGCGACGTGCCCCGGACTCTGTAGCCCTTCTCGAGCAGTTGGAGCCCGATGTGCGTGGCGATGTAGCCGTTGATGCCCGTCACGAGGACGATCTTGTCCGACGCGCGGCCGGAGTCGACATTGTCGACGGTCGCGTTGTTGGGACCGCTCGTCTCGCGCGGCATCGGGGACACTGGTCGAGAATGCGACGACCGGCTGCGGCTGCGGCTGCGGCTGAGTGACCGGAGGTAGAGGTGACTGAGGCGTTTGGAGGTCTCCAGGTTGGGCTGGCCGGGGGGGAGGGGTTGCGGAATTGACAAGCCCGCTTTATATATGGATGTCGGTACGGAGTACAGTTTGTCCTGGCCCACCGGACACTTCCGCAGGGTGGGTTCGCAGAGGCAACCCTTGACACCACAGACGCGGTAGTACACGGTAGTCCGCGCGTGAAGGATACTCTACTACTGATACCGTAGTCGTACGGCTACTGAAGCCTATCACCGATCGCTCAGTGACACCCGACGAGGATTTCAGACGTGCCGGCGGAAGATTCTGCTGGCGAATAGCCGGGCAAGAGTAGGGCCCGCAGTCGGTGCAAGGCCAAGGACGAGATGGCTCTTTGATTTCTAATCGTCGCTGCTTGGTTTACCTGCGAGATGGGGGAAGATCGTGTCGGCAAGGTGCTGGGAAGAGAATTTCTGTTTAGTCGTCGAGGTCGGCGGCCAGCGAGCTGCTAACATAAGCTGAAGAATCCCTGCATGTGCTGGAGCCGAGAAGGGAAGCCAAGTAATTAATTACTCGTACCTACCCTTGGCTGGGATGGACGACACACGTCCAAGATGAGAGCCCACGCAGGTTGAGCAGCTCTGACGGGGCGCCGGCTCGCTTCATGCTGATTCTAAAAGCAGCCATGTACGGAGTGGTCTGCCATAATTGTACAGCGCCACAGGCGGTCTAGTCGCTTATACACAAGTATCTTGGAGAGCATGATTTGTGACAGACGAGGGGCCAAAGGTAAAGACGCTTGATTGGAATAATTTGCATTGGAGGTTAACTAACTCGGTAGGCGGACGGTGGGGACAGAGAGAAGACAAACGAGTTCAAGGCCGGGTGTGATTCACTCTTGTCGACTTGGAAGTGATGAGCCTCGATCAGGCGGTCGAAGAAGGTCGACTTCTCTCATCCGGTTGTGAGAGACGTCCAGGCCGATGGGCTCAGGTACATTTTGGATGAGCAGAGAACAAGACACATTGCTCGGTGCCTCAAGTATCGCCTGGGAAGAATCAGCGAGAAGGGAACTTGCTGTATTAAACATGCAAGATAGTATTGTTAACAGCCCAGCCTAAGCAGTTCTAGGGAGGATCGCTCTCGATAGTCCCTACTCGGGCAGCGACCTCCCCAACGAACACCCCTATCTGATCCTCCCCCAAGGGCCTATCACTCGCATCTCGACAATTGTGGGACAACATTTCCGTCTACTCGTCGTCGTTGATGTCGATAACCGTCTTTTTCCACTTCCGTGCGGGAACACGACGGTTGAACAAGATGTCGATCTCGCGGTACGATCTGTTCTTCATCTCGGGCAACCAGATGTAAGCCATGGCCGTGCAGACGAACGCAGTGCCGGCCCAGACGTAGCCGCACTTGCCCCCGAGGTTCGCCTGGTCAGGATTGAGCATGTAGCTGGCCAGGAAGATGCAAGGAATGTTGACTGCGTAGTAGGCACCACGTCCGACACCAGTCGTCAAGGGCCTGAGACGGATGGAAGACGTCTCTCCGATAATAACCCATGAGGCAGGGGCGGGTCCCAAGCAGAACAGCACAGAGACGATCAGGCCAAGCGATGCTTGCGCCTGGGTAGCCGCAGTACCACCACCAACCGAAGCCGCGATACCCAGAGCCACCAAAAAGGCGCAGTTGATAAAAGAACCCCAGACATAGATCGTGCGTCGGCCCAGGTAAGTGGTGAGGATCCAAGAGAGGATGACCATGATGGTCTGGAGGGCCGAAGTGATGAGACCAAGGGCAAATGCCGTGTTGGTGGCCATACCGGCGCCTGCGCTTGTATTAGTCTAGAAAGAGGTTGCAAGAGAGGGTGGCAACTCACGCTCGAAAAAGTAGACCGCCTGGTTGGCGATTAAATTACCCGTGAGATTCTGAGCCGCATACACACCACACACAATGAGAGTACGGTAGCGATCGGTGCCTTTCCACAGTTCGATGAGACTGGGTTGCTTCTCGGTCTTCTCCAGGTCGATCGTGCGACGCATCATCGCGACCGAGTCGGCGGGATTATCAGTTGCGCTCGAACGTCCGAGGCGTCTAACTGCCTTCTCTGCCTCCGCAAGACGGCCCTTTCGCACCAGCCACCAGGGTGACTCAGGTGCCAGGAAGAGGAGGATAGCGAGAGGAGTAGGGAACATCCATTGGAGAGCGATGGGGACTCTGGCATTTATGTTAGCACAGTGCTCCTCAATTAGAGCTAGAGGAGCGGTCGAACCTGTAAGAAGCGTCGCTGTCCTTGGATTGGTAGTGGTAGGTGATACCACCGACAATAATCGATCCAATGGCCCAGAACATCTGTAACATCTGTGTCGCAGGAGCTCTCAATCTCAGTGGCACGATTTCACTGCAGTAGGCGGGTGCATTTGCGATAAAAATGCCCCAGGGGATGCCTTCGAGAAGCTGGGACACCAGCAACACTCCCAGGGAGTCGCCGAAATAGAAGATGAGGATGAAGCCGTTCAAGGCCATGAGGCCACCAATGGTTGCCCATCGGTATCCGATCCAACTGGTGATGGGACCTGCGAGGAAGACACCGATCAAGGCACCAACTGGTCCGCCACACTGGAAAGCTGACTGCCACGAGGCGGCGATGAACCATTTGTCTTGTGCGGCGTTGTAGCTACCGTAATTCTCGGCGAATCGAGGCGTGGCGATGAAATTTCCCATCAGGAACACACAGTACGACTCCATGATCTGTCGGTTGTCAGAGAAATGATCTGGACACTGTGGGCGCGAACTTACAATGGTGCACGACATGACGAATGCCCACCAACTGGCAGCGGGGTAAGCTCGCACGGCCTCCAGCACACCCATCCGGTGTTCGGTGTTCTCTGCCTCGATTGCACCCGCCCTGTTGTAATCAACCTTCTCGACAACTTCGTGAACAGGGTCGACCTTGGAGTGCTGCGCCTCGATCTCCATGATGGAGGTCGGCTTGTCCGAAACCACGTTACTCATGTCGGCGGTGTTGCTGAGAGAGAGAGTGATGGACGATGGGGACGAAAGAGAAAGCCAGACGGCTGGGACCTCGAGCCTTATTATCCTTGGACGACACCCTCGTGGTGGACATGCGAGCTTGGCTGGCAACGTTGTGATCTAACGAAGCTTAGCCACCCCGGGCCCGGGCCTGACCTCCGCTACCCCAACTTCTCTCTCCCACGAATCCCCTTTTGGGCACTTGTCCGGCGGCAGGGTCGCATTTGCTTCGCTTCAACAGGCCGAAGTAACATTGCTTTGGCGTGCCGTCCGGCGTAGCTCCCCCCGAGTTGCCCCAGTCCTCGGTGTAACTTTAATGCAGTGGCTCGAGTGGTCCCTGTCGAGATCAACCTTGTTGTGGTGGTACGATAGACCGGACATGACGCACCGGTAGTCCTCGGTCGACAATCTCCCGTGGAATACTCGTACTCTGGTATTTGCAGACGGCTCACATGCTGGGTGACATGGCTTTCCCCTCAATTGACACAGCGAGACCTCATCTTGTTGCTCGGCTTTACTTGGCTAGTTCGCGGTGGGCAGCTGTGATCGTCGCCTCGCAAAACCGGGGTACTCTCCTTGCGTGGTGCTCACTGCCGCGTGGCAGAACCGTGGTTGTGTGGCATTTGGCGGTCATCTTTTGCTGCCCACCTCAAAACGACCACGAGCCACTTGTGACCACGTTCCAGAAGTCAGCCTTTAGTATCTGATCTTGCCTTGTTCTGGTAGGGTTCTGGAAGACCTCCTTGCATTAGCAGATTGCATAGCAGATTGCGGGGGCTAGAAGCACCGCTGGGGTGAATCGACACGATTGTGGGAGCATGTCTCGAACTTGACGGACAGAGTGATCATGTGCCTCAGATGCTGCTCATCTCAAGACACGGTCCTGCAACACCGCAAACCCTGTTGACAGGACACGGCCTTCGAAGGTGCGGAGCGGTAACGTCCTGAACACCGAGCGTATACAGATCCTGCAGAGCTTGCCACATGGCACTGGTCTCGAGAGGAGGATCGGTTTCCATCTTCCGCGCAAGATGCCCCCGTTTAGGAATGACTAGGCTGATATTGTCATAAAAGTCAGCCTTGGTTTGTTCGTTAGCGCCTCCTTCACTCATGTCAGGAATCTCCGGCTCCGTCGCTCCTAAACCCCATGCTCCTGATACGAGTACTGCGTCTCTCTTGAACGGGGTCACGGGGTGAGACTTTGCTGTCTTTCGAGCCAGGAGTGGCCCTCCGGTTGAACTAAGGTTAAGGATCTCTCTTTTTAAGTTTACAGAGCTGCAAGTCGAGGTGGCCAGATCCTTCGAGAGAGTCCGGTGGTGTCCCAGGCAGATCTCGTTCGTAGAACATTGCTAAGCTCTGGGAGTGCTCCGTACTCAATATGACAATCGTCGCTTGCACATGGTGAAGCCCACCGGCGGGTCCACGTAAGGGCGAGGGTGAAGGTGAGCAGGTAAGCGCCGAGGGTGAGCAGACGGTGAGCAGACGGTGAGCAGACGGTGAGTCGCAGGTGAGTGAGAATGATCGATTGAAAAGCGGCGTGGTCGATGGAGGCCCGCACGTGAGCCGGAGGCGGACTTTACTCTGCTTGTGTTGTCAATCACGAGTCAGCAATGTCGCCCTGTCGCCTTGTCGCCTTGGCTTTCATGTGCGTTGAGCAGCTAGTGCAGGCCATTCAATAGCGCACAGCAGCGGACCGTTTCCTGTGGTCTCTGCCCTCCGGAGACATCTCGAACTCGGAGGCCCTCCACATATGACGGCTGAGATTACTCCGGTGTACAAATACGTGTACTTTCCCCGAACACGAGTAAGCGAAGATTATTCCCCTAGGGACCTCCCAAGCAGGTCGACTGACACCAGACAGAATAAAAACACCAAGTTCCAGGAGGATGCTCGGCCACGATCGTTTGGTAGATCGGAAATACTCGCCATGGCCATTGCAGTAGCTACAGGATCAATACCCGGCTGTCTTCAGCTCATTCTCTGTCCATTCCCAGAGTTTGCGCCCGGCATCAGCGTCCGTGGACCACTTGTTCGTCCTGTGCTTGCCAACAGGGGTGTAGTACCCGCCATTGACCAGTTCTTCCTTCTTCGCGCCCGCGGCTGCCCAGAGTTGATTCAGGGCACCCGTCTGGACGGTACCAAACAACACAGGGCCGACGATCCTGGCCCCCCATCTAACTATCGCGTTGGTCTGCGCGTTTGGGAGATACAAGTCCGTCTTGATGACGCCCGGGTGCAGTGAAACGCTGGTCAGTGCTGGGTACCGTCGGGCCAACTCGGCGGCAAACACGATATTGGCGGCTTTAGAGGCTGCATATCGAGTCCAAGGCCCAGTCGCCGCCAGCTTTTCCGTCGAGAGGATCGTGTCGAGGTCGGGGGCCATGTTTTGCGCTTCCGAAGAGACGGAAATGACGCGCACATCGGCGTTGTGCTCGTTCGCGGTTCTCTGCAGGGTCGGGAGGAGCAGTTTCGTCAACAAGAAGTGTCCGACGTGATTGGTGCCCATTTGAATGTCTTGTCCTGAAGCCGTCTTCCCGGGTGGGACAGCCATAATCCCGGCGTTCAAAATGAGGATGTCCAGGCGGTCACTGTGACTGATGACCTGGTCGGCAGCCTTCTTGATCGATGGTAACGAGGTGAGATCCAAGGGGAGGTACTCAATGTCAACATTTTGCGAGGTCTGCGATTGAATGGATGAGATGGCGTCGTGTCCTTTGGATTCCGTCCTGGACGCGAGATAAATCTTTCGAGGGTTGTGCTTCGCGAGCTGCAGCACCGTCTCCTTCCCAATCCCATTGTTGCCGCCGGTGACGAGGATGACTTTGCCGGCGAGGCTTTTGATGGCTGTTGCCGGGACAAATGTTGTGCTGCTAAAGGGCCACATGCTTGCAATGCCGGGGTGGTAGACTTCGACTGCAAGTAAGGGATGTAGAGCGTACGGCAGGACAAGTCCCGTAGCGAAGCCGAGGAGCTGTTTGTACTCGATGAGAGTCTGGTACGTCGAATCTGACGACGGTTCAGAGGGCTGGCTGCCTGTATCAGCGCCGTGCTTCACATTTGACACGCCCTCAATTGCAGCATCCTTGGGCTGTCCTGAGGTCTGTGGCGCCATTCACGGCGCAAGAATCACACCGAGGTTGCTGGTAATGTTGACATTCTCGTTGAAGGCATCCAAATCAAAGCGTCACCATATCGCTGCGTCCAATCAAGGAATGGGATGCGATGCTAAGTACTATCGATTGTGCATTGCACACTCCGTATCCCAGCGCAAAGGTTCAAAAGCCGGAGCTCAAGAACTCGCACGTAATTCGAGCCAATCACAAGACCGTGATCCCACATTCGTGACCTCGAAATTCCGACCGCCGGCCACTTTTCTAATCAACATGGTCGTTCAACATCAAGCACTAGTCCTCTCTGTGGTGGAACATGGTTTAACGTAGGTGCCGATGGCAGCAGCGCTGAGGATGATTAAGTTGCTGTTGAACGGCGCGCGAGTACGAAGGAAAGCCCTTGATAACATGATCACATCCTCGGTTGACCAGCGTGTCACATACTGTGGCTGTTTAGATTGTCATGATCCAGAACTTCACAAGCAGGCAAGCCTGGTCTTCTCTTTGGCATCACGGTTCACTCTAACGAGGATGATATATCATTGACCACCAACCTGCCCACACAAAAAGACGTACATTAAGGCTGCTAAATCCCTCGCAAATGACATGACCAAATGTGATTACCCTTTGCCTCACACATTTCCATGTATTTCCCACATATTGCAGTACGAACAAGGACAAATAGCGCAGATGAACCACTCTGTACTCGTGAGCGAGACAGTGAATGTGAGGATACCGACACGGCACATATATGTCACGGAAGCGAGTGCCAAACTCTGGGTTTGAATTGACATTCGAGGCGTCGGGCTTTGGGGCAGAGGACCAGGACCGTCCAAACAGAGCGGATGTCTCGGACTCGTGTGAAGATGAGACTCCAGAGGGACCAGAGAAGAGGGTATGTGCGGTTTGCAACAAGCCCATCGGCGCGGAACAGGCGAACCTCTAGACAGGAATTGAATACGTACACCAAACATAGTGACGGACGAGTCAAGTCAATCCTCACATCTAATCATGATTGAGACAGCGGACTGTGGTAGAGGTGAGCATCTTACAGCTCAGCTCCGGGAGTTTGGGCGGCGGAACGAGAAGATTTAGGCGCGACGAGCAAGTTCACATAGCCGTGCATACCCAGAGAAGAGGCCATGCGTGGGCGGGGGCAATGCCGGGGCGTCTCCGTCGGCGCACACAAAGCCAAGCAGACGCTGCCCGTTAAGCAGCCAGTGCGTGGCCGTGGGAGCCAACAGCCAACAGCCTCGCCTCTGGACCCTCTGGACCCTTGTCAGATCCCCGCAGCCGAGCCAATCACAGCCCAGCACGGCAAAGATAGACCGTTGGAAACTTGCTCACTTCCTTCTGTCTGCGTGGGAGAACGAAGAAAAAGGGCAGAGGCTCGCTCACGCTCTCCCTCCTCAATGTATCCTGACGTCCTGAGTACTCGTACCGCGCTGCTCGCCACGAATCTACCGCTACACTGTCCCCTCGAAACCTTTGCACGAACATATGGTCATAATACAACTTAGCTGGGTTGAGTTCTGTGCTACACAGTACTGCGATCACATCAAAACCCGATAAACGGAGGACATTTCCGGCTCCTTTACTCCCAGAAAGTAATCAGCAAGAACGAACGCCGTTCCCGCCTCCTTCTTCCTCTCTCACCATGGACATGTCATCCCACGACTCGGATTCCATGGATATGCAGTCCATGTCCATGCCCATGGTGTTCACGACATCGCACCACACGCCTCTCTACGGCACGGGGTGGACGCCCTCGACGGGCGGGGCCTACGCCGGGACGTGCATCTTCCTCGTCTTCCTGGCCATCCTGCTGCGCCTGCTCTTCGCGGGCAAGAGCGTGCTCGAACAGCGCTGGGCCATCGCGGCGCGGAATCGCCGCTACGTCCGCGTCCAGGGCCGGACGACCGAGGCCGGCCGCATCGACCAGGATCCCGATGTCAAGACTGGCTCCCTCATCACCGTCAACGGCGTGGAGGAGCATGTCAAGGTCGTGCAGGCCCGGACCCAGTCCACGCCCTTTCGGTTGTCGGTGGACGTCCCGCGAGCCGTGCTGACGACCCTCATCGCCGCGCTGTCGTACTTGCTGTGAGTGGCCGATTTGTGGCTTTTTTCGCCGAGACAAAAATGATAATACTGACGATGGGTGTAGGATGTTGGCCGTCATGTCGTACAATGTCGGATATTTCCTCTCGGTGCTTCTAGGTGTTTTCTTGGGCGAACTGGCCGTGGGACGATACGTGCAGAATGATGACCACGTCCACTAGAGAGGCTGAAACGACCTTGTTACATTTAGATCTTTTGGGAAGGGGGGGTGGGGGTGGTGACCAGGCGGACTTCGGTTTCTGAGCGTGCGGTTAAGAAGAGGCTGCCCTGCCACCCCCATCACATTATGAGTCATGCAGCGCTCGTCTTGTACATGCTGGAAATCATATCTTTGCAACTGTTACCAATGCTGTGGTGGAGTCACTGACCGTGAGAATATCCCCTGGATACTGATCCACACTGGGGTTCGAGCTCAGCCCCATCTTCCACCAGTGACTGGTGATGTCGTCAGCCTAGCAGACGAAGTTGCTAGCCCTCGTAGACAACGGCCATGACTGACGTCGACGGCCAATGTATGGTTTTCCGCTGCGTGGTTCACTAGATACGGCGTTACGCAGTGTGCTATATCTCTTCCGTGCCGACTCGCGCACTCCATCAAGGCCACGTCTCGACCCGATTCCACTCTCCGACCGACTCACTGGGCACTGGACCGCCCGGACCGCCGTGCTCCTTATCCAACGTCCAAATCTGCCTCGTGGCGTTTGCCGGATCCGTCAAGTCTACGGCCTCGACCTGCTCCGGCGTAATGATGGCGACGCGGAAATTCTTCCTCGCCAACGGCTCGTCCGCCAAATGACCTGCCTTTTGCCCCAGCGCCTCTCCCGCCCGGTCATCCTTGCCGTCCGCCAAGGGCTGGCCCGGCGGTGGATTCTTGAACGACCCGCGCATCATGGGCGACAGGTTCTCAAAGTAATTCTCCAGCTCGCGTCGCCAGGACCAGTTTTGGTGGTCCGCGTCCTCCCTCCTCGTCGTGGTGGTGGTGCGCATATACCGCTGCACCTCGGCCTTGACGGTCATGGTGCCGGAATTCTGTGCCTCCGGTGTGCCGCCCTCGATGTCGTCCGCGGCCACGAGCCAACACCTGCCCCGGATGCGCCACTGCGTGTTGGTCTGCTTGAACCAGAAGACGGCCTCGACGGGCCCGCCGCCGCCGGTGCCGGAGCGCGACTGCGCCACGTCGCCGTGGCCCTTGCCCGTCGCGAACACGTGGTACGTCTTGTCCATGCGGGCGTCCGTCGTGAACGTCGGGCAGTCGGACTCGTACACGGCCGGGTTGCGCGGCAGCTTGTTGTGCTCGTTCTCCGGCAGCGTCGCCCAGAAGCCGCGGAAGATGCAGGTCCGCGCGCGCGGCTCGCCCTTGGGCGTCACCGTCGCGAGGACGAACTCGGCGCTGGGCCCGCCGGACTTGTCCAGGTGATCCTGGAACGTCTTTTTCCACGGCGCAACCGTCGACTGGGTGGGGTGCTGCGACATGGTGGAGGCGAGGCGTGTGAGACGAACGACGACGACGGCGCTTTTCGAGGCCACGGTGGATAGACGGACGGATGGGAGTAAGAACAGAGACAGGAATACAGATCGCTCTAGGTGATACCGGAGGTCATGGTTCAGGAGAAGCCTCGAGCCCGCGTCGGCTGCTTCTGGATTTATTCTCTGTTGATTTTTGTGGTTGATGGTCAATTATGACGCGGTGATTGGGATGGAGATCACATCAACAAGTTGAAATGACGTCGACGATTTCACGAGTGACTCGAGAGACACGAGATCATCAGTACGTGGACCACAGCACACGCAGCATCGCAGGAACAAGTCTTATGTGGTCTCATTCCTACATTGCGGTACAGCAGAATTCTTTTCTCCCTGCTGTTACGAAAAGGATATGATCGTGGGAAAGTCTTCGAGGGTGGCTTCTGAGATTGACCGATGCCAATATCGGCTCCAGTCCACGCGTGGCCTGTCCCCTGCTTGATTTTTGACTTTGGATTGACCGAAGGTTCTGACGTGGCCTTTGACGAGAAATCAACAGTAATTTAGAATGGACGCACAGTAGGGTTCTGGCTTCTTTTGCCGGAGAGCAATGATGGGTTTTCATTACTGGCACTCTGCGCTATGGAGGGGACGCAGAATACCTCATCTCGTCGTCATTGTCGGTCTGTCACTTTCGCATGATAGAGACCTGGAACTGGTTCTGCAATGCAAGTACGCCTTGAACGAGCCGACAATATCAATTCAAACGTCAGACTCTCGACAGGAGGACGGAATCAGACATCGAATGGTTAAACGATAGGCGAACGGAATTGTCTGTGCATCTGACATTAGTTCGTCACAGCCATGCCGGTTGACCGGTCCCCGTCGTCACAGTATTAATGTCATGGTCCTCTGTAACCATCAGTATCGCGATAGTCACCTTCTCGGGGCCTCTTCCTGGACTGGTAGCAAGGGATAGTCGAGTAATACCCCGTACCCCTGCACCAGTCGTTCGGGCTTCCGTTAACGATTGCGTACGGCAAGCCACCATTGACCGAGCGAGAGAGGGCCCTAGAGAAATTGGCCTGAGAGCTGCTTCCGAATCCCACCAAATTCGGCGGCTACGAGTGAGAAATAGTCACAACCCAGTACCGTCCTCAATCAATTATAGTCCTTGAGCTCGCCCTTTGGCAGTGTCTTCTCATGAGCACCTCTCCCATCCCATTTACGTTTCCAGCACCAGGCCTCGTCCTTTTCCTTTCCGTTAGACTTACCGTTCAGCACGTTGACCACATACTTCCCAATGTTCGGCAGGAACTTCCAACTGTGAAATGAGCCCGCAGTCGCGAAGTACAGATTCGACAGTCGCGGGTCTGGATGTTGCGTGATCAACTGATTCTGATCCGGCGAGATGACATCCCAGCATAGGCGCCAGTCATCAGGTGTTCTGCCGTGGTCGAGGATCTCAGGCACCCGCTGGCGGATGATCTCAATGGACTGTCGCTTGAGTGTTTCTGGAACGGATTTCTGGTCCGGCGATGGCACTGAGATGTTCTGGCCGGTTTCTGGATGCGGCTGCGTATTGAGGAATGTGTTTGCATTGGTGAATTTGTACAAGCGGTCCTTGTTTGGAGGCATGACTTCACCTTTCGCGCCGTAGATCAATACCGGCATTTGAGAGTAATGGTCTGCTTCCGCTTCCGACAGTTGGAATGCGGCGACGCATACTCCAGCTGCCTTTATCTGTTGCTGAATACTGTCACCAGGAGAGATGTTGATCTTCTGTTCGAACGATGCCATAAGATATGGGGTCCATGCACCTGTTGCGAGAACGATCGTCTGCCCGCTAAAGACCCTCCCATCGGCAGTGCGAACCCCTGCAAGACGTTCACCATTGCTGAGCAACTCGGTCACTTCCCCTACCTCTTGTTTCACGCCTGCCTTGACGGCTTCGTGCATCAGAGCCGCTACTGCGCCTGAGGCGTCGGCCCATCCAGCACTAGAATTCGTGTACGCCTTGTCGTATCCCGTTGTGTCCATGCCGGAAAGCACGCCACCCCATCTCGTCTTCACGTCCTCGAGTGAGAGATCAGCCGACGGATCGAGACGGCCACTCTCGCGAAAGTTCTTGCGAATCCTGTCGGCGAGATCGCTGCCCTTCTCGTCGACCATGACCCATCCTGTCTGGTGGAAATATGGCTTCAGGATGGGATCTTCCGTCCAGCTCTCCATAGCTTCATAGGCCAGATCCATGTAAAAGGCCTTACTGTAGTCGGCGCGGACGATCTTATTGATGTCTGAGGACGCAGCCTGTGGCGATGGCACGAGTGCGCGATCAAGCACCGTGATCCGTGATGGACCGGCATGGCTTTTCGACAGGTGATACGCCGTACTCGTGCCAAAGATGCCCCCTCCAACAATCAAAACGTCGCATTGAGCCGAGTCAGTACAGTCCATTCTGGATACTGTGTTCCACGCAGGCAGTGAGGAAGACACTGACATGCTAAACGTCGTCGGAAGTTTGCCTGGCTCCCTGGCTCCTGTGTAACCCACGGGGGCTGGGCGACGAACCCTTGCACGCCTCGTCAGCCACCGGCTCCACGTTGAGCCCTGTCGCTGCCTGTCATGTCATGACTGCTGGGGAAACAGCGCCACCAGATCTCCGCAGGCATCGCCGAGAGATTGAGCCTCCAATCCTTAGCTTGAGTTTACGGTGTTCCGGCGGAAGATTACCTCGGTATCTCGAATAATGCGCCGCACTGCAGAACGAGGCAGTCGTACGAGTACAAGTAGAAGGGGAGGAATCATCTCGTGTGGGATTGCTGACCGGCTGCGAAGATCGTCCGTTCCTTGCGCGTGGTGGCCTTGAATATATCTGGACGCCGTCACTGACTCTTTACTTGTGTTTGTCCTTGCGTTGACCATTGCGACGGTGTCTGTCTTCGGCCTTTTCGACGCGTCAGCTCATCTGCCGTCGTCCTAGAACCATGTCTCTTGGTAGGCCTGAATCCGCATCAGCCAGCGGAGATGATCCATTGTGCTAAGATTTTATTTCACAGCAACAGCAGCGGCGGTCGCCGCTGGCAGCTGGGCCACAGCGGCCTACCTAGACGCAAAGTTTCACTTTCGGAAAGACCTTGAATTCCTCGGCAGACTGAGGCGCGGCGGAAAGGAGTATGAGCGCGTGGTCAGGGAGGACAAAGTCTGCATCTGGTACGCCGTCGAGGAACAGTGCAAGAAGAGTTGGAACAACCCCGCGATCTGGACGAGGGAGGGAACATACACCTTCGGCCAGCTGTACGAGGAGAGTCTTCGATATGCGCAGTGGATGCGGGAACAGGGCGTCAAGCCCGGTGAGCTGGTCGCCATGTATATGACGAACTCGGCACACTTCATGTTCGTCTGGTTCGCCTGTACGGCCGTCGGTGCGGCGCCTGCATTCATCAACTACAACCTCGAAGGGAAGGCGTTGATGCACTGCCTGGACGTCTGTCAGTCGAGACTGTTGATTGTCGATGGAGATGCAGGATGCCAGAAGAGGATCAGCCAGAGCCAGTCCGAGATCGAGGCTCGAGGCACCAAGATTGCCATCCTCGACAGCACTTTACAGCAGGAGATTGCTGCAAGTCCCGTGGTCAGACCTGGCGATGAGCTTCGCAAAGGCACCGAAGGCAGCTTCCCCTATTGTTTGATATACACCAGGTGAGTGTCTTTCGCATCTCCTCCGGCTGTCTCGAACAGGAAGTAACACATGGTCACAGTGGAACGACCGGTCTCCCCAAGGGCTGCGCCTTCACCTTGCAGAGAGTCTACGCCATGAATGGCCATCGCGAACCCCTGTGTGGAGGCATTCCCGGCAAAGACCGATGGTACAATGCCATGCCTCTATACCACGGCACCGGTGCCATTTCGTCGTCTACCGCGCTGCTTCAGGGCCTCTCCATCGCCATCGCGCCAAAGTTCTCCGTGTCTCGGTTTTGGAACGACGTCCATGACTCGGGATCGACCTTCTTCATCTACGTGGGTGAGACGGCACGGTATCTCCTCAACGCGCCGCCTCACCCGCTGGAGCGCAAACACAACATCCGCTGCTGTTATGGCAATGGGCTGCGGCCCGACGTCTGGGAGAGATTCCAGACTCGCTTCAACATCCCCGAAGTCGGCGAGTTCTTCAATTCCACCGAGGGCATGTTCAGCCTGTTGAACTACGACAGAGGTCCGTACCTGCGAGCCTGTGTCGGCCACCACGGTCTGATTTTCCGGCTGATGCTCCGCAACACCTACATCCCCGTCCGGATCGACCATGAGACCGGCGACATCTGGCGGGACCCGAAGACGGGCTTCGCACAGCGAATGCCATACGAGGAAGGCGGCGAAATGATCGTCGCCGTACCCAGCAAGGAAGCATTCCAGGGCTACTGGAGAGCTGAAGCCGCCACGGACAAGAAGTTCTGCACGGATGTGTTCAAGAAAGGAGATATCTACTATCGCTCAGGCGATGCCCTGAGAAGAGAGCCCGACGGCAGATGGCACTTCCTCGACCGTCTGGGCGACACCTTCCGGTGGAAGTCCGAGAACGTCTCCACGGCAGAGGTGGCACTGACGATAGGCCAGTACCCCGGCATTGCTGAGGCGAACGTCTATGGTGTGCTGGTGCCCAACCACGAAGGCCGAGCAGGCTGTGCGGCCATCCATCTCGACCCGAACCATACAGGGCCTCCAGTCGACTACAACGACCTGCTGAGATACCTGCACGCGCGCCTGCCCCGATACGCGGTCCCGGTCTTCCTGCGAATTGTCAGGGAAAGCACACACATTCACAACCACAAACAGAACAAAGTCCCGCTGCGGAAGGAGGGGGTTGACCCGAAAGCCATCGGCACAGAGGTGCCCGAGGGCAAGGGCGACTCGTTCCTGTGGTTGCCTCCCAAGGGCGATCACTATGTCCCGTTCAGGCCCGAGGATTGGGAGAAGTTGTCCAACGGCCAAGCCAGGTTATGATTGATACGCTGAGACGGCGGTGATGGGTACGAAGTAGATTTCACACGGACACGCCAGATTGTGATGGCTCGAAGAGCAGTGATGGTAGATTTGGCGATGCCGGGATATATGACGACGCCGGGAATAGATGTTTTATTCTACCATAGAAAACACGATGGCTGCGGCGTGATAGCAAACGCTCGTCTTCTCTTCACTTCTAGAACTTCTAGAATTCGCCGAAGAGGGACCTTCAGAGTAGAGCAGTGATGGTAGATTCGACGACCTCGGGCTGGACCTTCACAGTAGACGGACAATTACTGCATTCTCACTGCACAGCACCGCACAGCACTCCATCACCCGTGTATGTCTCCTTTTCGTCTGCCTAATTCCCGCCGAAATTCCTTGTCTACAAGCTCTCTGTACGGAGTAGAATTTCTCGAAACAATCCCCCGTCCTTGAATCGCGCGTCCCGTGTGTGAAGTGCCTTGATGTACGGAGTATTATGTGCCATCTCGAACGGCGTCGGTACATTAGGAAACTCCGCCATCACGCACGCTTCCCATGTACGGAGTAGTTGGTATTGTATGTAGTTATGCAGCCATGTAGCTATGTACGTGACTCGCTGCGCGGTGGGAGGCGGTAGGGAGGGTCTTTGCCGGCCATCGGCTCTCTCCGATGAAGGGCCCCCCTGACGTGGACTTACTGTAGGCCGTGCCCCCGACATTGTACATACCTAGCGGTTCATGCTTCTACAGTGTCCAGCTTCTACGAGGTACTGTAGAACATCGAACTCAGGCTCAAGAAATTCGAATATATTTATCTATGGCCGGCTCACACCACTCCTATGGAGAATTACCTGAACACAGTAGGAGAATCACTGTCCCGAAGAGGAACAATAGGCATCTACTTCCACCTGGGAATGGGACGGCGACAGTGGTGAGAAGAGGAATTGGTTCTTGTCTTGAAAAAGTCTCTGTCAATTCTCGTCAATTCCCGTCCAGCGCAATATCATACTGTAACCTGGTCCCGTACTGAGCAATGTCAGAATTTTTGAGGACTGGGTGTCTATTTCATTCTACCTTTTAAACGATCCAATGCAGAGTACAGTTCCTATACTTGACCCTATCCACATCCAATTTGTCGCGCCATGACCCATCTCCCCTTCTCCCAGGGGGCGAATGCCTGTCGACCTTCCTGCTGATTTGAGGTCACCAATCAAAGTGGCTTCCCTCTTGATGCTGCTCACACGGGTGCAAAGCGCAACACCATTCCGTGCTCGCCATATCAGCATCGGGGTCTCTGCAGCAGAATCAGGGCTCCCAGAGGTCGGACGCCAGGGAGAAGGGTGGGCTATGGTGACTTCCGTATCGGAAGACACGCTGACGATATCTGTCCTGTCAACGCACGTCATGTTTTCCATCCGTAAGCCGTAGTCCATAATAATGCTGCTAGCCCATGTCATATCCTTTTGCTAGTCCTTTTCAGGCACCTGCAGCGTAACCGCTCGCCGGCGGGGCACTGCTCTGGTATGCAATGAGCCTCATTTCAGTCGATGGCAAACAATGTTTGCAACGCGGCTTCTATCTCCATCAATGTTGTTCGATCATCCGCCGTGTCCAAGAGCCGTCACGTCATACCAACTCTAGCATCAGCGGGCTTATAGTGTCGCAGGTAGGTTTCTTCCCCCGGATCTGTGCTGAAGTGTGTACTGGAGCGGTGAGGCATGCATCTCTCTCGAATCGTGCATGTGTTCTTGGAGGGCTCGAGTTGATCATAACCAATTCCTGATGCCGTCCGGTGCTTCCATTGCTTCGCTGTCCGTCTTGGTTCGCTCCAGGTTGTCAGTGGCAGAATCATCGGTCGTCGTGTAATTAGTGTCCATAGTGGTGGTGGTGTAGGTTGAGAAGTTCGTGGAGCCGCACACGGGCTGTCGCCAGACCCCGCCAACATAGCCCCTCTCGATGGCGATCGACTTCAGTGGGAGAGGATTGAATCGTTCAATGAAGACTTTATCCAGCGCCCGATCCTTGGGTTTGGAATATCGTTCATATTCCGCTATGCAAGCCTCAAACGTCCACCCCGTCACTCTGCGGAAACTGGCTGTGATGCAACCGGTCCTGTGCTTCCCTTTGTTGCAGTGGATGAGCATGGGGTAATTTGACGAATCGAGCATCAGCTCAAGAACCTGGTAGACGACTGCGTCCGGAGTGTAGATTTCCGGGTCCTTGTTGGCGAGGATTGGGATGTGATAGTGGGTAATGTGGTTCCTCGTCATGTATCTCTTGTAATCTTCGGACAGTGCTTGTGGCACCAGCGTCACGATGGTCTTGAGGCTCAGCTTTTCCAACTCCAGAAAATGCGGCGTTTGGGGATAGCTGGATCGGTAAAGCCCGGGAGCAATGATCTGGAAGTTGACTGGACGCCCTGTACCGTCTGGTGTTGGTGGCTGGGACTCCTCTACGTGAATCGTCTCAGCTTCTAGAGAGACGTTCAAAGCAGCCAGCGAGGCCGCCAACTCGCTGGAATCGACTCCGCAGTCGGCCATCCCTGAATACTTTTCGTCGCTCATCATGCGATCCCAGTTCTTCCTTGATCTGAAGGAAGTGGCGGTACCACACGCTGATCTGAGCTTGGGGACCACTGCTGAAGCTGTACAATAGGCGTCCTCAGGTCGTCTGCTGGATGAGGAGGCAGTCCACGGTCAGAGTGGGAAGATTCCTGGAAGACGAGGAGGGCGCCGTTTACACTGAATATATGTAGGTCACTAGTCGAAGGTCCTCAGCAACGAGGTTGACACCAAAGACTTCCGACGTCCGGGCCAGTTATGGTGGGGTGCAAACTGGCAGCGGCTTTACCAGCCTGATGCCAGGGACGCGGTCGAAGAAGTGTCTGGGACGCGCGACTAATTGGCCATTTTAGCGCAAGGTTTGAGTGTACCAACGGACAGGCTGAGACACAGGTATGTGCGGGCTGGTTTCAACCAGGTAGTACGGAGTGAGGGTGAGAGGGATGTATAGGGCAGCTTGTCGATATCAACCGATGGTGGTGGCTATTGAAGTGAGGGACGAGGCCGCGAGGTGTGTAGTAGGGTCATCGAGGCAGTTATCTTGACCGTGCTCGGTCTTGACAACCCGGATTACTGATTGGACGCATGGTTACGGCGGTCTTGGAGGATCTCTGCGATGGTGTTGCAGAAGGAACAATATTTGAGCCCAAGGCCAGAGTCGAGGGTTGTACCATGCCAGGTGCGAGGTAGAAGAAAAGACGCGAGCGTGTGTGCGAGATTTAGAGGAAAGAAGGAATGAGAGAGGGCGACGACCAAACTCTGTGCCGACCAGATATTTCTTGCTCGGCTTGATTGTGGTATCCAGTCAGCGCAAATCACCCGGGTGGGTATGGCAGCATCTTGACGCGGTGACGATTTGCTAGGCAAACGGCGGCAGGCGGCAGCCAACAGCTCCAGTCCCCAGTACGAGGGAACAAGAAGCGCGTCGCTCTGATGGCGAGACTCAAAAAACAGAAGAGGCTAAGGAAGGCAAAAAAAATTAAGTGGGTGAGTGGAAACAAAGCCACAAGTGAGAGAAACGCGAGCGGCATTTGGCTGCGTGCACGTGCTCGTCCACTTAACCTGGACGCGCCTAAAGAGCCCCAGAACGGCCTCTCGTTATTAACTCGTATGAAGTTCGGGGCGAGACTCGGGGCCGGAAGGGGCGTGGGGTTGCTACACAGGTAGGTATGTCATTTGACACCGGCCATGCATTCTCTCAGTTTCCCATCCACTCAGTGCTTGAGCCTCTTGTAAGTCGTCGCCCATGAAGTGGATTCTATTCATTGTCTACATGTACCTAGTGTCTACAGTAATGTGATGTCTTCACTGCATCTTTTCCTGCAATAGCATCTCGCCGTCATCAACACCATCAACCAAGCATCCACGCGGCAGTACCGAGGCCAAAGCTCACCCCGCCGCTCCGAGACAATCATGCGACGATGACCAACGCGGATTATTCACCATTCTCGAACAAAACGTGCTTGTTTACTCATTCGAGGGCCCCGACACTTGGCGTCTTTCGATTCGTCGTCACACTCCCGCGGCTCCCAAGCCAAACATATCGGTCGAATTCTTCCATGCTGCTGCACAGACCTCCTCGACTGAGATGCCCTTGACTCGCGCGATCACGTGAGCCACCTGGACGATGGTCGCGGGCTCGTTTCTGCCTTTGACCATCATTCCTTTCTGCCATTTCTCCTTCTTGACTGCTTTCGGCACGGCAGGTCCGTCCTTGAGGTGTTGAGAAGAGGCGTGGGACGCCCGGATCTCGCACCACGGCCCATCGGTCTCAATCTGAAGTCGGTCAAGTGGGACAGCCTTCACCGCCTCCAGATTCTCTTCCGTCTTCATGCTGCAACCGTTGATTCCAATATCGAACCCGAGCCGGCACAGAGACTCCATCTCCGGCACTGTACCGGTGAAGCTGTGTACCAGTCCTCGTTTGGGGAACTTGTCCAAGCGCTCACCGATGAGTCTTTCAAAGTCTTCACTGCATGCTCTCGAGTGTAGAAACAACGGCATTTGCAATTCCTCGGCCAAGGAGAGCTGGAGCTCGAAGTACTTGAGCTGCACATCCTTGGGTGAGAGAAATAACCGATCGTAGTCGAGCCCGATTTCGCCGAATGCCACCGCGTGGCCTGTCTCCTTCGCTTCAAGAGCGACGTCCCGCAACTCTTTGATCAGCGCGTCGGGCCCGCCGTTGTAGTTGTCGAAGTCTTGGGTTGAGCATGGGTGGACGCCGACTGTCGCATAGCAGACGCCAGCTAGGGGCTGGTCAGTGACGACAGCCGCAGGTAGCAAGGGGTGGCCTACGATATTTCTTCGCGAGGTCTACAGCGTGATGGGACTCTATTAGGTTTGAACCAGTGATCATCAGCTTTTGGACACCGACGTCGAGTGCTCTCTGGACAACATCGTCCAGATCGTCTTCATGCGCTTGCTTTCCATGGTAAACTCCTCGAAAGACGGGATCTCCCAAGTTGATGCCGACCTGAACCGTGTCAGCATCCGGAAGGTTGTGCATCATGGCCGTCGACCTACATCTGCATACTTGAAGGGCGTTGCATTGCCCGCCATGGTCATATAGCGAGATCCGCTACCGTGGCAGAGAGTGATATACCCTTTACCGGGCCATGTCTCAGGACGTAATGCTTGGTCACCTCAGTAAAGAGTCACTCATCGTGCTTTAGATGACGGAATTCTCACCACCAGATTTCACGCAAGCAACGGACCCAACTGAAGAAGGTCTGAGTAGACAGATCGTGGTGCGGGCTAGAACGGCCTGCAGCCGCAATGGCATCAGATTTTGCTGCAGGTCTTGTGGTGGCTGCAGGAACGAGATCTAGATGAGCTTGCGGTGGAAGTACGGAGTACTCCAATCGACGCGTCAAAGGCTACAGTACGAAGTACCTACTTTGTGACTAGTACGAGTTACGATACAAGCACATACAGTACTCCGTACAATCGGCTGAATTGCCGCCGAGGCCGAAGACAAAGCAGACAGATTCTCCTCCAATGTCACTCAATGATCTCGAGTCAAAGTCCCTTACAGTCTCCGCACCGGCCTGGACGCCGACATCCTTCTCCATCAATACCTGGTATGTTTCAAGATTGTCGACATTGCCCTCGATAAGCGGCTAGACAGATCACGCTCCGCCTTGCCAGCCGGTGAAAATACCTTCAGCCGATGGAGTAGGACCATCTACATGGAGATGCTACCACAGCGTCCGAGCATGTAAGTATATATCCCGACAGTGAGTTGTCTCTCGCGTCTCCCTCGTCGCGTCCAGCCAGGCAAGAACGCTTCGTAAGGACCTTAGATCTCAATTCCCACCTGCTTTCACGATGGCACCACGTCAGATCTCAGTCTCGGAAATCTCGTCGCACGACAAAGACACCGACTGTTGGATAGTCGTCGACGGCCAAGTATGGGATATCACGAAATTCGCCCCCGAACACCCCGGCGGCCCAGGCATCATATACAAGTATGCCGGCCGAGACGCCACACAGGCATACAATGAAACACACTCCCCGGCGATCATCAAGAACAACCTCCCAGCAGACGCTCTCAAGGGCATCCTCGACCGATCGACCGTCACGGCGGAATGGCCAACCCCGTCAGCACAGGCGGAGCCGGCTGAATCGAAAGCTGCCTCGTCATCATCAGAGAAACCACCCTTGGAATCACTGATCAACGCACACGACTTCGAGCTCGCGGCGCGCAACAGCGCCACCGCAAAGACGTGGGCCTTTTACTCGTCGGCGGCCAACGACCTGATAACGCGCGACCTCAACGCGCGGCTGTTCCACAAGGTCCTGTTCCGGCCGCGAGTGATGCGCCGCGTCGACAAAATCAGCACCGCGACCTCCATCCTCGGCCACCCGGTGTCCTTCCCCCTGATGATCGCCCCCGCCGCCATGGCCCGCCTCATCCACCCAGACGGGGAGCTCGCGCTGGCCCGCGCCGCCCAGTCACGCCGCATCCTGCAGTGCATATCCAACAACGCGAGCTACTCGGCGTCGGAGATCGTGTCGCAGCCCGAAGTGGCCGACCACCCGTTCCTCTTCCAACTGTACGTCAACCGCGAGCGGGCGAAATCCGAGGCCCTCCTGCGCCGGATCCACGCGCACGCCAACATCCGCGGCATCGTCGTGACGACCGACGCGGCCGCCGCGGGCAAGCGCGAGGCCGACGAGCGCGTCAAGGCCGACGAGTCGATCCGCAACCCGATGATGACGTCGTCGGCCAAGAACGACAAAAGGGGCGGCGGCTACGGCCGCCTGATGGCCAGCTTCATCGACCCGGACCTCAACTGGGACGACGTCGCGTGGCTGCGCGGGCAGACGACCCTCCCGCTCGTGCTCAAGGGCATCATGGCCGCCGACGACGTCAAGCTCGCGCTCGACCACGGCCTCGACGGCGTCGTGCTTTCCAACCACGGCGGGCGGAACCTCGACACCTCGCCGCCCGCGCTGCTCGTGCTCCTGGAGCTGCACGCCCGCTTTCCCGAGATCTTCAGCCGTCACCACCCCTCCTCGCCTGCCGTCAAGGCCGGGCGGGCTCGGCCGTTCTCCATCTTCGTTGACGGGGGCATCCGTCGCGGCACGGATATCCTGAAGCTCGTGTGTCTGGGCGCTGTGGCCGCGGGGATTGGGCGGCCCGCGCTGTTCGCCACGGGCTACGGCCAGGAGGGCGTCGAGTCGCTGATTGACATTCTGAAGGACGAGTTCGAGGTCGCCATGAGGAACGTCGGCATCACGGCCGTGGGGGACTGTCGGCCCGAGTATGTCAATTCCGGGGCGATCGATAAGTGGGTGGTGAGCACGAGGGAGCATCCTTACGCTGTTGCGTGGGCCGACGCTGAGCCTGCAATCCCGAGGAGGGGGAGTAAACTGTAGTCAAATAGGGCTGTCGTCTGGTAACGTTATGAACCTTTGGCGGGTATATACTATATAGACGGACATGGAGAATACGGTAGACATCCTGATACAGTGGCCCACGGAGGACGGACCACCTGGATTAACTCGAGAGTTGAATATTGACATTGTGAAGTTGTAAATTCTATGGAATTCGTTATAACGCCAGTTGTCGCACTCCTTTGGCTAGCTTTGAGCTTGGGCTTGAGCTTGATCTTTGTTCGCCGTTTTCGCTCCGAACACGTCGACCAAAGTGCCTACTAGGCCTTGCCGTTCGCCATTTCCAATCCTTGCTTTGGTCTATAGTTTGGAGCTCCTGGCCCCCTGGGGCTATGCCGTCAAGCACATGAGACGAGCTGAGAGTTGTAAGCTCGGTTCCCACTCTGGTCGAGCAGGTCGAAGTCGATCAAAAAAGGCCGAGCTACTCCTTCTTGGCCTCCGAAGTCTTTTGCGCCTGCTCTTGCTTGCCCTGCTCAGTAACATCGTCCTCGGCTTCCTGGGCCTCGCTCTTTGCGTCAGCCTTCTTTGCCTCCTTTTCGGAGTCGGCTGGCTTCGGCTTCGGCTTTTCATCGATATCCTTATCATCCTTGGGTGTCGAGGCAGCGCTCTTTTCGCCCTTGGCGTCGGCGGTCTGCTTGCTCGACTCGGCTTGCTCATTCTCCTCTTCAATGAGCTCTTGCTGTTCCTTCAAAACCTCAAGACGCTGTTTATTCGTAGCGGCACCTTCGGCGTTGTGGACCTCCAGTTCGATCTCGTGGAACAATTCTTCGGGAATGCTGCTCAGCACGGCTTGCAGAGCGTCAATTTGTGAATCGATCTCGCTGTCCTTGCCCGACGTGTACATGTACGCATTGCTGAGCACCAACAGTGTCGAGGGAATGTTATATTTCAGGCGGAGGTCGAGCCACATTTGCAAATCTTCTCTGAGCTTGCCCGGTGACATGCCATGGGTACGCAGGCCACGTGAGGCACACGCCATCTGGAGTTCGGGGACTGACAGTGAGTCGACGCCTTCGAAGGAGATGGCCTTGTCGTCACGCTTGATCTGGCGCATACGGTGACGGATCTGGTAGCGGAGCATGGCATCGGTGCCAAAAGTGTTGAGGTTCATATATTTGCACATCCCCACAAGCTGTGGTCTTGAGAGATTGTCCAGCGTCAAATCATCTTTGAAGATCTTGCACACTTTGATGACGTCTTCTTTGGACGGTGATTCTCCTGTAGCACGGACCTTCCGGAAGAATTCAGTAAACTCTTCTTTCTTTGCGTTGATGGCGGAAACAGGCAAACCGGTCTCGCGCAGGGTGTTTCGGAGGAAGGAAGAGACCTGCTTGCGCGTTTCTCTCAAATGAGCCGCTTTGGTCTCGCGGGACTTCTGGCCTTCATATGTCGACGGAAGGAGGTTGGGGAACAGTTTCAGCGCCACCGGAAGTAGGAGTTCAGCGAAAGGGACGATGACGAAAACCGAGAAAGGGACCAGGCGGCCCAAGTCCTGGACGGTTCTTTGAAGCTGATGCACGATCAGTATCTGCCGTTAAACGATCACGATGGTATATTGCTCACCTGTCTGTTCTCTCGCCTGCTGAGCTCATACCCAGCAGCCATTTTTAATGCGAGCTTGGATGAGATTTTGACCTCAGCTGCCAACAATTTGGTTCCATCCCAATAATGTTGGATCTCCTTTTTGATCTTCTGCCCAAGCGTGAGTTTCTTTGACTCTTCCCTTTTGGCCACCACCTCAGCTGAATTCTGCTTATCGGTCTGGGCGGAAGCGGCCTTTTCGGCAGCCAAATCGCCCAGACTGGCATTTTCAATCGCTCTGGTCTTTGCAGTTGCAGTCGCGACGGACTTGGGGACATGTAATTGCTCGTCCGACTTTTTCAATTCTGCAACCGAGGGGGTGGTTGCCGCTGATGACGCTGATTTCTTGTCCCCCCCTTCGGCCAATGGTTTCTTCGCCTCATCGATATTGAATCCCGGAGGAGGTCCGCTGTCGGTTCCAGATGACGTGGTTTCTGTAGCGTAATTTCTCTGAGGTAAAGCGATTGCGAGGGCCGACAGCTTTGGGGGCAGGTCTCGAGCAAAGCTGGACCGCAGAGCGTAGCCGGTCAGAGAGGAGGAGTGCAAAACACGGGAATAAGCTGTCCCTTGAGTCAGTATCAACCCGAGAATCAACTTCCACGGTCTTCCGTACATTGTATAAGTAGCCTCCTGGCTGCGGCATTGCTAACTATCCTGGGGCCTGAACTCATGGTCGGCTATGGAAATGAAGGCGGGCAAGGAGTAGCGATAATTGCAACGGGCCAGAGGCTTCAGGTCAGCGGGGTTTCAAAAGGAATGATCTCGGAAGGTCTACAAAAATGATTGATTAATGTGAAAATGGTCTGAAGGGTGAAAGGATCAGGTTGGGGAGCAGGCGAATGCATGACTTGAATCCAGACTTCAATTCACGTGTTTCATGCATTGCGATCGGTCCCTCAACAAGCACGTGACCCGCCGGACGCAGGGATCTTCAGGGACACGCCCCAAACTTTTCACACCAACGTCATGCAATGGCCATTGGGTATGCAAGGCTTTCAAGCTATGTTCAATGCTCAGGCGGTTACAGCCACATTCTGGGTTCGAAGGTACCGATGGTAGTGTCCTACTCATCGTTCCGAGGCTTCCGCTTTTCCACCAGGATTCCAGCGTGCATCACCTATGACATTGGCCTTGTGTCAAGGACCAAACCGTCGGATCCCACGTTATGATCTCTCCAGTCTGGTCTCCAGCGCCGCCGGCCGCACTTGGACTGCGATGCACACACGTAGAACGCAGGTTTAAATCACTCAAAATCAATCCGAATCACCGGTGCCACGTCCATTAACACTTTGCTTACCAGTTGAGCCTCTCGCTGACCCATCTTCCGATCCGTGACGCTTGCGTCTTTTAACCTCGGGGGACGACTCTGGCGACGATGTGTTACGCTGTCTGCGTGGGGCTGGCTCGTATCGCTGCATTGACCGTCTTCGTTTGTGGTGTCGGTGCCGGCTCGGGCTTCGACTTCGACTTGGGCTCCGTCTTCGTCGGGCGCTATATTCATCGGGACTGCGGCTTAGACGGCGGTCGTCGTGTGCATTGCGACCCCTGAGAATATCAGCGCGCTTGTTGCTGCGGTTGCCATCGGCAGAGTGATATGAGGAAGATCTGTGGCGACGTCTGTCACCCCTTCTGTAGTCTCTTCGTGTGTCTTGCGATCTTGACCTTGACCGTGACGGTGAATGTGAATGACTTCGCCGATAGCGGCGTCGCTTGGGGCTCGGGCTTCGACTATGGCTAGACTCGGAACGGCTTCTATTTCGTCGTCTTCTAGGTGAGCGTGAGCGTGATACATCAGAACTCGCTGGAGATCTTGTGCGTCTATCACCCGGTGATTTAGAAGTCCTCCTTGACCTCCTTGACTCCTTTGGTGGAGGAGACTGGGTCCGGCTCCGACTTCTTGTGCCCTGCCGTCTCCTCGAGACTGGCGAAGGGCTTCGTAGGGAAGCTGGCGTCTTGGACCGAGATCTGGACCGCGAGACAGATCGGGGAGCACGACGCGTTCGTGGTAGGGACGGCGACCTAGATAAGGAACGAGATGATGACCTAGTGGCAGAACGATTTCGGCCTCGGCCAGCGTCTCGCCCTCCTCTGCCGCGACCACCAGGAACGTAGGTATCGACGTCCCGACGCGGGGGAGGACCTCGGAAGGGAGATCGTCTGCGAGGCGGAGATCTCGAGTACCTTCGGGGACGGGAGTCATAACCTCGCCCACGCCCCCCACGTGGACCGCCTCGACCACCTCGACCACGCTCGGCTCTTTCACGCTGTCGAATGGCGTCAAGATCCACCTCGCGTGCTTGTTCCTGGTCTTTCCGATTTTTCGCCTCGGAAGCGGCCTTTTCAGCGTCAATCTAGCAGTATCAGCACAGTCTCGGCCACAGGCTACAGGTGTGGTACCTTCTCTTGCATGAGTTCCAGCTTTTTAGCCTCCAGAAGTTCTTTCGGGACACCCTGCGGGTTTGATTGAGCGCTCAAACACAGATTCCAGAGCTCTTTGCAAAATTTAGGGGTGTCCCTGTCAAGAAACCCGGTGAGCGAGATTTGAAGTGCTTTGATGTCGGGCTAGTCCTTGGTCAGCTGTGTTCATATGGGAGGTCTGTGCTGACGTACGAAGCGCGAACCCTCGAGCAGGTTGAAACATAGCTCGATCACCACATCATCCTCAGAACCAAGTATTTCGGAGATCTTGCCTGCAATCCACCTGGTTCAAGCACGTTAGCGACCCGACGTTAGCAATGTTCTGTGCTGCCAATCTCACCTTTTCATGACTTCGATGTTGACCTTCTTCATGTCGACCTTCTGATTGAACTCGGGTGGAAACTTTGTCTGCCGAAGCAGCTTTTGATCCACGGCGGTGGCCATGATGCTGTCGAGTTGCAGCAACAGGAGGTACAGTTGTGCTTCCGGACTCGCAGTCGACAACCATAAACCTCGAAAGACGAGGATCTCCGCAGCAGAACTTTCGGTAACAGTCATGGGGAAGGTCAAGCGAGCTCGTTTTGTTGTGTTTCAGCCTTGTCAGCCTTGTGATTCAATTGATGCAAACCCCTTCACGGCACGACCTCGAGGTTCATGTGGCTAAAGTGTATGATCACATTCAGTGCTTCCGCATCCACGTCTGGCAAGAATGATGTGGCAAGGCCACTGGGCCTTTCCTAGTTCCATGACCTCGGGTCCGTGCAAGAGCGACCAGGTGTCTGTCAGTCGCACCACCCGCGCTCTTCCATCGTGCTCCGTGCAAGTCGGCTGCTACTGATGTATTCTCTCCTGCGCCAGTATGCCACTGCTATGCATTCTTCCTCACATTCCTTCAACATGAGTAATGAGCACATCATGTCCGTGTGGGCGCTCAAATAGACGTTATTCTCCTCATTCCACGGGCCTGGGTTGGCCCTGGCCCGAACACCCTGCCTGCGAGCACTCCTTGAGTTCCCTGATTCTAGGTCCTCTCGTTGACCTTGAATCCATTGAGCCACCGAAGGGTGAAAAAGAGCCGGCATGTCTACCCTTCCGAACAGTGGAGAGCGCCGCTTATGTCTGACAGGCTTAGGACTTGCACAGACGGACCATTGAAACTCGGAGGAATAGCCTATTGAAGCGCCACGAGCTTCAGGTCGGGGCGGCTCCGCCGGCTGTATTGGATTCGATCGCTTCCTTCGGAGCCGAAAAACCGTCAGTTGAGGCGCTCGTCAGTCGCTTTGAAGAAGTAAGTAGATCCGGTGTCCATCACGACTCTGGCTAATCAGACTAGAAAGACCGCCTCAGTCGAGCCCCAACAGTTCCTTTTGAGCGAACACTCACTAACCCGGCACCAATCCTCCGCGAACGTTATTTAGCAGCCGTTGAGTCGCAGAAACGGATATCCTCCAGCTGTTGTCCTAACAAGGCTATCTCTCAGCACAGGCCTGGAGAAGAGGAGATACAGTCCATCGAACAAGCCATCAGGAGCAAGCTTTCTGCAAGCTCATCGACCCCTTCTCCTGCTCTGCGAGCCTCATTTCCCGACGTTGCTTCAAAGCCATCACGCATCAAGGTCAAAGTTTCTGCACAGTCCATATCGATCATAATCCCGGAAGGTACAAAGCTTCCCATTGTTGCCACCGTCGAAGCTGCAGGCCATATTGAGCTCGATACTCAAATGTCCGCTCCGCAAGCCGGGGAATCAGGTGAGGCCAGTGGCATTCATACCGGCAAATCGCAATCACGACGAACAAGCCGGCGCAATACCATATCAGAGGGTTCTGTGAGCCAAGCCAGCGAGAACCAGGCGATCATTTCGAAAATCAACTTGCCGTTCCTCCCAAACCGTGGGAAAGGCCGACTGAACGTTTCGGAGGCGTCAATTCCTGCACCCCAAAGCTCTGACATCTCTGCCCAAGGACAAGTCTTTGTTTCTCACGAGCACCCCGGTGGAACAGTTGTCGAAGCTTTGCACGATCGTTCAGAGAGGTCGAACGAAGCAGTGGAAAGTACACCTGGAGCCAGCGAACCGCCGGCAAAACTACCGAGAGACGAGCACTCCCAGCCTGTCGATACACCCTCTGATCCAGGTGTCGCTCAAGAAACTGCGCCTGACGACCCGAAAAAGGCTTCCATGCCAACCACAAGACCCGGCGTGCCCCTATTCACGCAATCAGAGAGTGCCGTCGAGATCATAGCGGAACCATTCGCCGGGTTTGGACCTAGTCAGGCGCGTTCGGTCCCTGCAATCAGGATCCACAGACCTAGTGGCACGGTTATGGCCGCATCAGTAGGAACAACAGCTATGAACAGCGCCAAGGTACCGGCCACTCCTATGCAGTCGGCACTTGAGCAAAGTCCCGCGGCTGCGGGCACTGCGCCGGTCAACACCCTTTCGACGACGGTAGCAGCTATCCCAGCCCCCACCAACCTCCCGGTCGACCCCTCCAACGTGAGCAATGCGATCGGCGCAGCAACGTCTGCTGTATCACTTCCCAGCTTGCCTGTGAGTGGCAAAGTTGGCAAAAGAAAGAGGGTTATCCGGAAAACACGCAAGCTTGTTCTCAGAAGGCGCCTTCTGGCCATTATCATTGGGCGCGATCTTGCCAATGTTGTCCATCCACAACTCAACCCAGGTGCCAATGTTGCTGGCAGCGTGCCCTTGCCTGTCGATGGACCAAGTGACTTGGTCAGCAGCTATACGAGCCGAACCGAGCGCAAACGAGACTTCCGCCGTCGCCAGTTGGACCAACGGATTGCTGCTGCCAGAATCCATGCAGAAGCAGAGGAGATTCACCGGTGCCGGATATGTCGAGGGCTGACGAGGACGATGTCTCTACGACGTTATCACCGACTTCAGCTCAAGAGAGACCGACCTGACATGAATACCTTCGACAGGCGTGCGACGGCCATGAGTCGGGTGGCGGTATTCAAGTGCAAATGCGACAGACGACTACTTGGGGTTGCGAATGAGGTGGCAGTCCGGGATGCTGCGCCGACGCAGCATTTGAGAGGTCCGGCTGCCATTGAGCCTCCTTTGTCTGGAGTGGAGGCGGCCCAGCAGCGTTAAAGATTGACCGGAGGAAGGCATATTATTATCGCTTTTTAGATTTGCTCAAGTGCAGTACTGCGTACATACTGTGTAGGCTCATTGTTAGTGGTGCATGTTCGACTCGAGTGATTCCTGGCTTCTGCGCTAGACTATCGGCGAGATCTGCTCAGAGCCGCCAGGACCTCGTCGACATCCCTCCCCGCTTGCTCCAATTCTGGGTCTGGGCCAGTCTCAAGATATTTCAACTTGACGTCGTAGTGCAGTGATATCAATTCGTTGGCACGTTGAAGGTCCTGGTCGTCGCGTCGAGTATCACGTCCTGACGAGTGTGCCGACACGTCCTCTGACTTCTTTGGTGCTGTTGTGTCTGCTGCCTCTGCTTCTGTAGGCGCTGGTGGCTTGACGAGAGCGATGGCAGCCTCGTGTGACTACAGACATGATTGTTAGCACCTTTGGTCGTGAGTGGATTGCGCAAAGGCTTGCTCACGCAGATGGTGAGGGATTTGAGATCCGAAAGGAAGGCGGCAATTTGCATCTTTGGCAACGTAAGACGAGCGATCAGAGTAAACACCGTAAATGTCGTCGACGATGGCCCACTTTCATATGGTGGGAGTGAAAACAAGTGAATGTGAAGTCAGGATGAAGTGATCTACTTCGAAGGGATGCCCAATGATAATCAACGAGTGAGGGTCCCGCGCCGAGAACAAGACATCGTCGTTCAGCCTCTCGCCAAACCGTAGTTATTGTGCCTCCCTTCACCACAAAAGCTGGTGCTCATAATATGAGTACCATTCACTGTTTTCGAGTCATTATACAAGGAGTTGAGCGAGCTAAAATCTCCATCCCTTGCGACAGGGCAGGAGGAAACCAACAACTGACTTCATTCTGAGCAATCATCTCCTCCGAAGTTAATTACTTCTCACCACCTTTCAGCACCACGTCGATTCGCAAAACGTTGTGCGCAGAACATGCATTCTGTCCTCTGGGCCGGTGTTGTTCACACAGAGAGAGCCGCTTTCCCAGGCAACAGGCGAGTCTAGTACATGAGCCGGGTTGGAAGTCCCTCGTTCGTGGGGCTCATCGCATCTCGTATCTAGACATGTAGTACGGTACTCCCAAGCATTATTCTCCGCTGCGTGCGTAGAGGTCACAGACCACTTGCCGCCGCTTGCAGGTACTCTCTCACCTCATCGCGGCGGCGTCACTGTGTTCCTTCTGCCAAGGGCAGCGACCTCGGCCGCACAGTCAAACGCATGCTCGTATGCCTCAGCTAGTTGAGTGAGAGCTCGGACATGGCGTCGTTTGTACGAGCTCGAGAGCACAGAGTGAGACCGTTCCTAATCTTGTATTGCCCAGGATAACCAGTAGGCCGCAACATCCAACTTGTAAGACATCGTTCCAAGGGAGAGAAAGTTTTGAGCCAGCACTCGTATTGCGGTGTCAGAAGCGATGATTCTTCCAAGGATTCGAGATGTCCTGACATTCTCACGCTAGATACCATGCCCACAGCCCAGTCTACGCCCGAAGCTAAAGCAATATTGCGGACATCCATGACGACAATTTGAGGACAAGTCCCTGCCAGCCTGGCTGATCCAACATGCAGCTCTTAGGAAGGGCTGCAGAGAACCAACAGGGCAGGAAGACACCAACAATTGACTTGTGAAAGCGTGTTCCCTGCTTCGCCTACATCCCCTACAAGGCCGTATGCATGAGGCGCATCCGGCAACGAACACTATTGGCCAACAACTATCCTCAGCGAATAATCTGAGCACAATCGCCACACTGCAGGATGACTGGTCTCGTGGAGATTTTCAGAATCATTGACCCCCAGTCAGCCTTTGCTTTCACCGTCACACCAGTGGTGCCGTCCAAGACCTTGGGGTCCGGTCGGGTCGGTCCAGGGTGAGCCTCATCGTCGCGCCAAGACCGTGTATTGCACCACCTGCCCGATTCGTTCAGTCCAGCCCTAAAACCTGGCAGTCAAACTCTTCCTTTGATGAGCGGTCGAACTGAAGCCCCCCAACAGACCAACAACGGCCGCTTCAGTCCGCAATTTAGACATCTACAATCGCCTCCATACGTGGGTTGCCCTTGTCTGCTGCGTATCACCATGTCGCGCCTGATGGAGCTCGACCGAGCAAGAGAGCCATATCCACCTGCCTATACCGGACGAAATTGGCAACGCCTAGATAATGCATTGTTGACACATCATTGGAGCGAACTAGTCCGGTGAGTACTCCGTAACCACTTCTGCAACCCAGAACCCAGCATGTCGAAGTCTGTCCCCTGCTTCAATTCCTCCTGCTCAGCCTTGTCACTTGTAGTAGGGCCGCTGACATGACTCCCGGGTGAGATTGTCCGAATGAATTTCCATCGCGGCCAATACCAAGGCCCAGCAACCGTCGTCCTGTGCTTGTTGGTGGGAATTAACGCACTAAGCCCTATCGTCAGGCGATCTGGCGTCGCTCCTGGTGCGGGTGATCTCCCACATGTACGACGGGTTATAAGTGTCGTCGTGTTTCGGAAGACGTTATTTGCCGCACTGTCGGTGAGTATAACGACGAGAATTTCTCCGTGGTCGTGCCAGTTTCGGTTATCAAACGCGGCGATGCTGAGCATCAAGGGCATCCCAGTGGTCCCTATCACAGCTATGATTCGGCTCGCCCCAAAACCTCGTCTGAAAGGTTAGCTTGGGGCAGTGCAGAATCGGCCGACCAGATTCTAGTCCCACCAGTTCGCTGCAGTCATGCGGGACCATGTCTTGTGTCGAGAATGTGGAAATTGAAGGAACCATATGCTCACCACACACGTACACCCCCCAACACAGATGGCCAGCTCATGAAGGAGTCGGCATTCCCGCGGGTGTCCATTTCAGGACTGTTAGGACATGACGATCTCGGACTCCGGTGGTCGAGAGGGCCATCCCTGATAGAATCATCGAAGGGGCCAAGTCGACGACAAAGACATGGTGCAAATGACTCCTCTGGAAGCGGGGACCGTGGGTAATACATGCTCAGTCAGAAAGGGGCCAGAGGATGGACCCGAGGAGTTCCTGCTGCCATGGAATCCTTCGCACATCGGAAAGAGGCCTCTGACGGGCGACAAGGCGCGGCGAAGGCTCCGTTATACTCCATACTCACCTGGTCAACAACGGTGAGAAAGAATTTTCCGACTCGTGGATATGTGTACAGCAAGTCTCGATACGATACCTACCTCCCTGTCAGAGAGTGAGACGTCATTACAAAACCTTTCAGCCCCCTTTTTCGCGGTGGGTTTTTGGAGCCTCGTCGCCGCCGCCGCCGCCGCCTCGTCCGCCGTCAGGTTGTTGTGACTATGACTAAGCTGCCGGAGTGCTAAATTGTGGTCGACCGCGACCTGCTTACGGAGGACTGCTGTGCAACGGACATGTCTCGTACGAGTATACGGACGGAGGCTCAACTGACGTGCATTGATCCTGTCGCCACAGTGGCACCGCCTTGATGACATCGGGGCGCAAGGTATGTACTCGTACACACGTATTGAGAATAGCCCCGTTGAAAAATAAAACTGGGGACGAGGCTACCGTTTCGCTCTCGCCAAAGTGTTGAGGCTGATAGAAAACATCCTTTGCGTGACCTTCCTCTTTTGCTTCCCGACGGCTGCGTCGCCCGTTTCACTGGACGGTTCGAGCTCGACCTCGTCCCAGCGCCGGCACGTTTCCATCCGGCCATCAAACGCGCCATCAAGCGCGTAGCCAGGGGATCCACGAGACCCAGTACCTAGTATGTAAGCAAAGTCCCCCCCGGTGGGCCTGGATCGGCGATATAGCTTCCTGCCGGACACATTCTCTTAATGGCTTTTACCCACAACGTGCACAGGATCCCAGTACGAGTACTCCGTAGTCTCGTAACATTTTCCTTGGGGCCGTTCAAGGATCCCTTCTGACGTTTCGTAGTCTTTATTCCTCCTGGTGGAAATGCACGCCGTAAAATGCCCCGCTGCGTCGGGACATCTCTCACGGGTATGGACCATGGGTCCGGATGCGGGATCGCGATCTACATAGTACTGGATACGCAGTCCTGCCCTTTCGACGTGCCCGCTTGGCTACCTACCTCGTACACACCGCACGTACCGAATTCGTCGGCACACGGGACGGGATGCGTTACGGTGTATCTCAGCCGAAAAGGGCATCGTAGTACTACGTCCGGAGTATTTTCTCATGCCTTTTTTTCTTTAAGTTTTGCTCCACCCAATATGCCCCCCCCAGTACCCAGTCCCCGGTACCAGTAGCCGGGTATTCTTGTCCTTCGAGTACACACGGCAGTACGGAGCACTGCACCCAGTACCCAGTACTGTGCGAGATGCCGTGCACGAGGGGCCTCCGCCGGAAGGGACGCTCCCCTCCGGACCCAGACCGTCTCCTCATTACGCCCCAGCCAGCTCCGTCCATACCCGACCCGTCCCCAAGCACAGCACCGCACAACACGTCAGTGTGCTCTGCGCGAGGGGCAAGTACCCTAGCAAACTCGGAAGCAAGCCCCAAGGAGCCTCGAGCGGCGAGCACGCCTACCTAGCTAGACCCGGAAAATGGTTCCCGCTACCGTGTCCAGTACTGGGCACGCACATACGAGTGCGGGAGACAGTACGGAGTACTGCAGTAGTTTACCATTAATTCAGTCCGATTTAATCCTCCCTGCTGGAGAGGGAGAGAGGCCCGTCGGGACTGGACGAGCATATTGTGTACGGCTAGAAAGAGACCACACTGAGCTTCACGGTCAAGTAATTCTTGTTCAGAGGGGGGCATTCCGGGCTACCGAAGGGATTAATGATCAGCCCAAGCCTCGGGGTTGTATCTTTGTACACAAGTCGCTGCTTGCTGCACAACACGCAGCACACAGCACGCAGCACACGGCAGAGCGAAAGGGCTGGCATTGGCGCTGGCACTGGCACTGGAATTTACCCTGATCAAAGCTGAGGATTCTTCTGTTTATGTGTCGAAATTTTGGCTTCCACCCTTCCTGTGGTATCCTTTCGCGCATATAGTCCTTCTGCTCGCACGGGTTGCCTGGTGCTGGCCGCCCGGTTAGCTGATCGCTCATGACCCGCGCCCACCCACGCAGCCTGCCGTTGCGGTCTGTTTCATGGCTGCCAGTTTGTCAACAGGAGTCACCGTGCACTGGATAAAGACAAACTCAGCATACATGAGGCAATACAAGGCAATATAACACAAGGTAGGTACTTAGGGTAAGTAACCTGTACCGTGTATGACACAGCACGTAGTAGGAATACGCCGACGCAAACCGTAGTGTTTTATCCAAGGACGTAGGATAGGAGCTGTGTGAAGTAACGAGGTATCCTCTGTCCTCGCGGTGTCACTGATCCGTTGTATACGTGTACAGTACGGTAAATATTGGTGGTGCGCGCGTGTATAGTACCTGTTTAGTGTACGAGTGTCAGGACGAGTACCTACACACTTCTAGATCGAGTATCTTTTATTCCTTCGAGATCTTGCGTATACGCTCACTCACTTCTCACTCACTGAGCCAGTCACTCACT